ATGCCTCCTAGGTTTCTAATGATGGTCTAACATTGATCGACTCATGGTTCAACAATATATACACTGAGTCAAACGAAAGTGAACTCTATTGCTAAACTGTAAACGGATGTATAACTTCATTATTTTTCTCTTTCTCAACCAATGTCAACTAAATACAATCGTACAAGACAATGGGATTACAAACTCTCTAATAGTAAAATAAAGACAGATCAATAAATCTTATCGATTTCTTCATGATTATTATTACTACTTCATAGATGTATATATACTTATTTATTTATTTATCATTGGAAATATTCTGTTTACTCCTATTTATCTTAGATACATCCATACTTAGATCGTTATGTAATAGGTCAAAATAAAGCCAAACAAATTCTAGCTGTTCAAGTCTATGCTCATTACAATCGTATACAATATAATCGATTAATTAGCACATCGGAATATAATAAATTTAATTCAACTTATTCAACTGCAGAAACAAATCCTACAATAAATGAAGTTAAAACCCCTGTAAATAATCATCATTCCTCAGGTGAACAACTTTCAGATACACGTCCTCCTGTACCTGTAAATCATCATCGGAGCAATTCAACTCAACCTTCTGTAGGAGGTATGAATAATTAACTAGTTGTTCATATTGCATGTGTGTATCCATTTTAAAGATTGGTCCTAAACACTCATAATTTTGTCTTTGAAAAAGTGTTTTTAATTTCTGCAAATAAAAAGGGTGTGTTAACCAGTCTATTAAATATAACACTGCAGGTGATAAAATAGTTCATTGTGTAAACAAGGAAATTGCTACTGACACCATTATTATTACTATTATTATTCTGTTTATATCTGCCTATTGTTTGCTGAATTAGTTTGTAATAATGATTGACCCAGAATATTCAATAGGTTTGATTTCTCATGTTACATAAATTAATTTCTGGTACTCGCGATCCTAATTTCAATACGATCGCATAATTAATGATGTAGGTGAAATATCTATCCTACTCATATCGTTGATACTGTCGACCAACCAAACCACCTCGTTAAGAACAGCGCGGGTATAAAAAAGTCGAATGCTAGTATTTTGGATGTTTGTATCCCATAGATTCATTTCAGTGGACATAAAACAGATGAGATGCGTATGGGATGAGTGTGTGTACCGATTAAAATACTACTCATTTTAAACGTTGCTATGGTTCAAAATCGATAAGGCATAGTGTACCACATGACGACAAGCAATAAATAATATAACAAATATCTAGACCCACAGGCCCATACGAAACGCTTAAGCGTAGTTACAAGGACATGAGTAAGCTGAAGGTCATTACTTCCTATGAAAAGAATGGGGCTATTAAGAGGATGAAAATAACTTGTTGTCTGTGATTTATTAAACCCTATCCAAAGGCCTAGAATCAATCACACATATTATGTGCATAATAACGTAGTTACTGTGACTTTACCTACTTTCTATGGTTAGTAGTATATTCATGTTGGCTTTGAACAATAGTCATTCGTGTTTGTTGCTGCATTTTATGCCTGAGAAAGCAATCATTTTATTGATTTACTGGAATTTATTTGTCTAAATGTATTAACCATTATCAGGTAACACCCAACGGTGTATAAATCAGAAGACAAATACGAAGAGTTAAGGACATTATATTTTCGTACCACACATATCACAAAACCGCAGGCATAAGACCTGAACAGCAAGAGAGTGAATGATCCAGTGGTCACGTGAATAGGATCAAAACGTACATGTATATATACATTGGAAAATGAATGAGTCATCATCGACTTATTTAAGAGGCTAATATTAAAGCGAATAAAATGAATATGCACATAGGCTGTAAGCCGATGCTCAAGCCTAAATGTCCATACAAGCACAACAATAATAAAAGCACTGTAGTACAAATATAGTTGTTGCTATACAAATATCTCTGTTAGGTTAATCAAATGTATATAACGTTATATATATATACATATATATTTACAGAGTCGCTCGTTCATTCCTTTATTCTTATTTTGTGTATTTCTAAAATTCAATGCACTCATTCATTCTATTGATTTTTTAGAATTACTTGAATTTTTGCGCAATAGTTCAGTAAGTTCGTCGAAAAATTCATTTACAAATGGAAACAGTACAACAGGTTCATTGCCATCTGCTGTAACTTCGGATTTGTCTGAATCAGAAGATGATATGGAAAAACGTTTTCGTGGTACACAAATGATTCGAAATGATTGTGATCAACCAGTAAAATTAGAAAAAAGCAACATTATAATGTTAGGTCCAACTGGTTCAGGTAATGTAAGAATGTTAAGATTATTCATTTAAAAAAATTAAATTTATTTTACATGATGAAAACATAGTTCTTATCCTTCTTTCCTCTCTCTCTCCCTCTCTCTCTTTCTGTACTCCATCACTCAAAGGAAAGAAAAGAGCTGTATAACGGTTAAGTAAACATATTATTTATCATCATTCGATCACTTACAACACACTACTGATGTGTTGTATGTGAAGACTGAACACTTGAAAAAAACAGTTAACCAATTATATTCGTCAGTTAGTTATGTTATAGTCAACGGTGAGCATTAAGAACTGTTAGGATAATTTTCTTAAATGACAATCGGGACCTGGTCGCTTCTAGTACTAGTGGTGGTTGTGATATTGTTATGCGATTCATATTTACATCTCTTAATACTTACGTACGTCAATCATGATCGTTTATTAGTAAACTACCAGTAATGCATGACTTGTAGTATTAGTTCAATAGATTGTTAGGTCGAACATTTGGTATATTGAGTCATAGTTTTATTGAACATTCAAAGTGACTATTACATTGTAAAAATGCTGGTAACAATATACGATTCAACATGTATTGACTGTTCACATATCGATTATACTTAACTGCCTTACATTCGAATAGGTATCATTTCCTAATTTATGGAAAAAGTATCAAAAAAATAATGCAGTGTCCTTTTTGTTTCGAAGAGTCAGAAAAAGGAAGATGTAGAACTTGGACTAATATCCTTAGATTAGTTTGCATCTATTTTATGAGTATTTATCTAACAGCTGATTTATAGTAATTTTAAAACATAGTGTCTTACTGTTAGTTCTCTTTTCACTAATTGATTTTTCACAGTTTAAATCGTGAACTAATATTTCCAAGGTTAGTATCAAACCTTGGAAGCACAGGACTGCTGTTTAGTCCTAATATAGGGCTCCTCAGCAGTTTGCGTCTACTACCACAGATATGGGAATCGAATCTTGTTGAAGAACGCCTAATTTCTAAATCAATGAGTCGTGATCTAACGGTATACACGTATGACTTCAATCATGTGCTCATTAGTGACTACCTTTGAAATTTAATTCCTAGAGTTTTAATGATAATCTATGACCAATGGAGTTCCATCAAGTTAGGCGTGATATGGTCATTTGTCCCGGGCAATGGAAGATAGTCGTCACACGATATCTCTAATTGTTTAAAGTTAGACATGTACTGTCTCACATCCAACTGACTGACTGAAATTTACTGGCCACTGTCTCACTAGAACTCTAGAAGTTGCATCTTCAAGCTGGCCATTAGTCAACGTATGGTTTTTGTTATCCGTCCTAGATTGGGAATATTATCAATCGATTCATTTAAACATATTAAAAAAGTTACCTCAGTGTTGTGGCAAAAATGTCTTAGTCATGGTACTTATTGGGATTTTGTACGTTATAGACAGCGTAGTCCTGCGTTTTCTATTTACTACTTCAAACACTTAAGGCTCTCAATCCTAAAAAACACTTGTGCATATTTTGACTAAAGGCTTGAGTCTTAGAAGTAATCGGAGAGATTAGTGTTCGACGATATTATTAAAGAAGTATAATCCAGTGAACTAAACTTAAAGAGAGAAAGATAGAAGTGATGAGGAATTCAAAAGATTAGGATTTGAGAGAACACAAAGAATGGATCCACCTACGACATTGCAAACAGTTTTGAGCCATGTCATTCAGGGTCGCTAACCATCGATTACTATCATCTCACGGCCTTGACCAGGTAGTTGACACCTACCGACATGGCTCAGTCCATTTCTCAGTGACTTCTCGGATTTTTGCCATGTTTTGGTTTTACCGCCCCTAGCTTTCTCCCAATCTACTCCTACACCGCAAAACATAGCTCGACGAGGCAGTCGGTGGTTAGGCATACGCAACACATGTTTCAACCACCTCAAATGATGAAGTTTTTTTAAATAAATCTGTTGTGTTTGTGCAATATATACAATGACCTTGATGATCGCTAATCACTGTACAGACACGTCAGCCTCTCAATTACCAGCCCCACGGAATAGAGGAAAAACAACGACTTATGAGACAGATTAGATCAGATCAGATCAGATCGTTTATTATTTCAATCATGCCTTTATATACATGAAAAATCAGACTGCATCGTAAACCAATTAGAAAACTGACATCAATACAAAATAACAGTAATAGTGAGTGTGAACTGGGGTAACGCATAGCAGTCAATTAACTATAGTTCATAAATGAGAAATGATATAACAACAGTTAATGCCTCAAACAAGAGTATAGGATAAGAGCAACGTCACAATAATAGGAATAAAATGCTTACTTTGTATACAACCAAAAATAATGAATCTTAAGCAGAAAAAACAGTTTTAGGAGATAGTCAATCTTCTTTAAGTGCCCGCCATAACAAAATCAAGCATTGTTATTTGAACAATGCCTGACTTACTTTTAAAACTAATTGCGAAATCAAATATGAACTGATTGATACCGAAGAACACAAAAGATCTAAGTAATAGGTATGATACTTTAAACAATGACTTATAGTTTGGAGAATTTACTTTATTTAATTATGATATACTTGAAATTCTTAATATGGTTTATGTATTTTCTTTTCAATGTGCTCTTATTTTTAAGCGCCATAGATTTATAAGTAATGAAATCCTAATAATAATAAACTGTGCTCAATGTTCAAAGTTTTCATTTTTATTATTCTTTTCAGGCAAAACACTATTAGCTCAAACTTTGGCTCAATGTTTAGATGTGCCTTTTGCTATTTGTGATTGTACAACTATAACTCAAGCTGGTTATGTTGGTGAAGATGTTGAATCAATTATTGCTAGATTATTACAAAATGCAAATTTCAATGTAGAACGTGCTCAACAAGGTATAGTGTTTTTAGATGAAGTAGATAAAATCAGCTGTAAAACTGGACAATATTATGCTGCACGAGATGTTAGTGGTGAAGGTGTTCAACAGGTAGGTCGCGGGGGGGATATGTACACATGAATATAATTGTTTAATTTTTTTTATACGTACTAAATAATGTTTCTGGTCTAAATTTCCAATTTATATATTGTTGCTCAAGCAAAAATCTATTTTAATTAGTTCTTTCTACTATCACTGCTTTTGTTGTAAATGGCGTAACATTTGCGTTAAATACAGGTTAATATCCCTGAGATTTTCAAGGATGGTGGTCAAGTTTTAGCAGTTAGATTGAATGAGATTTTAGGTAGAATTTGGGAATTGGGCGTAATCACATCTGATGAGCTATGTATTGTGGTGTAGGGGTAGGTTGGGTGAAATCTAGAGGAGGCCAAACCAAAACATGGCACAAATCCATGAAATCATTAACAATTGGACTGAGTCATGTTAGTAGATGTGGGCTACCCTGTTGTTGTCCGTGAGACGAAAGTCGATGATGGTTAGAGAACTTGAACGGCATGGCTCAAAATCGTTTGCAATGGTGCAGGTGCATCCACTTTGAAATTCTAACCTTCTGAATTCCTCATCATCTCTATCTTTCTCTTTCAACAGTCATCTCACTGAATTATACTTCTCGAATTATATTTTCGAACCCTAATCTTCTCCATCACTGTTAATACTTCTACTATCGCTACCACTATTGGATTTGAAATGATAGTTGCGTTTCTGTGCTAATGCGGTATAGTAACCTGAACTTATGTGCTCATGTACGAAGTCCCACATTGTAACTGACTGACTGACTGCGTTAAATATATATGTATGTTTTATTTCCATTTTTTCTTGTCAATCTAATTTTCCATTTTTCAAAAAAAATATATTTCTAGGGTATGTTAAAACTTTTAGAAGGTTCAATTGTTAATGTACCTGAAATGAAAACTTCACGTAAACTACGTGGCGAAACTGTTCCAGTAGATACAACTGATATACTTTTTATAGCTTCTGGTGCATTCAATGGTCTTGACAAGATAATTAGTCGACGAAAAAACAAAAAGGTATAATTGATTTCTTATTGTTGTTGTTGTTGTGAAAAGATTGCATACATTAGACGCCCTTATTGTTTCCTTATTTCATCTTACTGTTTTGTTTCAGGTCATCTGACACCTAATTTTTGTGTTACTGTCATATATTTCCGTAGATCTAGTCAAACATTAAATTTACTGTCATACAGTACTGTACAAATTTTAAATGCTTTCCAAAGACATTGTATGCATTCTGCTAATAATTAGTTGCATGAAATATTTGCCACTGATTGATCACTGAGTAGTAACCAATGTTATTATGTTAAGTCCTTCTTTGTTTTCATTCAAATCATGAATCAATCAATGTTGGACCACCATTAAAAACTTGGAAGCACTATACGGTTGTTTTTTCCTAGTATGGGATTCATCAGCAGTGGGCATCAGTGACTCTCGAATGTGAGGATCGAACCTAGGACCTTCGGTTTCGTACGTGAACGCTTAACCTCTAGACCACTGAGCCGGCATCCAACTGTGTTAATGTCTAACTTCAATCAGTCCACAATATGGCGTGATCTCATCTATTGTTTTCGGTGGGCAACTGTCAACCACCTTCAACCATCGCCTCACAGTTGGGAAGTAAGAATATGTGTATATACATAGATAAACCTAGTCAGCCAACATTCACACTACGTCCACATGTATCGTTTTTAAATAGCACAAGAAGTCTCTCGGTTCGCCGGCTACTCGCGGTTGTAATTATGCATCTCTCCGGCAAATTTTTTATGATTTTTAGACATCGGGTTTTCACTGATGAGAGGTGGTTCAAAATGTTCGGTCCAGCATCTGCTAGTGGTAATTATTATACGAGGCTTGATGAATGAGAGAGCGGCTTACTTAAGTAAGGATTATAAAAGTCTTGGTATGTAAATAGAGGGTCATCAGCTCGTCTCTCTGTTAAGACGCTTATATGAAATAGTAGTCCTAGGGCAAATTCTCACAGATGTAAAAACGATATGTAGTCCCGTTTGACTAAAAGTTGATGGATAGGCAACACCATGAGTGGAACCCGCGGTTTTCCTTCGTGGGGATAATCGCGTCCAAATTGAGGCGACCTAAACCTACCAACATGCCGAACTGCCTGAGCTACAATAATGGTCTGGTAGAACTACATTTTGCTCTTACACTTTATGAGAACTTGCTCTTGGACCACTATTTCATATAGCGTCTTGACAGGTCGATAAGCCGACAATCGTCTGTTTGCATAGCCAGACACCAAAATTTTCAAACCTAGGCGGGTAGGGTTGTCAACCCTTATACAAGTTTTCCTACGCACCGGAGAGTACACTATATGCATTCTTCCTCGCGTTGTGGCCCATTAAGTTTTGCAGAGCTTTCAAGTTTACACCCTCTCTCCGTCAACAAGGGCCTCTTTGGCCGGACCTTACACTTTAATTTTTTCCTAATGTGGTGAAAGGACTGCATTATGTACTTATCTAGACAATCGCACTCTTGATCAGTACTTACCCTTGACGTTTCCAGGGCAATGTTGGCCAAGTCTAATTGAGAATTTAGCTCTGAACTGACGTACACTACACAGAAAATCCTCCGGTAGGCAGGTGTCGCTTATAGACAGGGTACTTGCGCTCGGATGGTGTAATCAGATAGTGTGCCACCACTCCGGGTACCAGCATAGGCTAAAAAACAGTTAGTCAGTCAGTTAAAAGGTAGAACTTCGTACGTACGAACATCACTTCAAGTTGCCATACCACATTAGCACAGAAACGCCATCGTCAATTCAAATCCCATAGTAGTAGAGGTAGTAAAAGTATTCGCAGTAATCAAAAAGAATAGTGATCAAATATATAATTCGAGCTGTATACCCCCAAGGAATCAGTTACCATAATATCATCCTTTCCATACTATCAAATGCTCTCTGATTATCAAAGTAGTTTATGTGTAATGTTGAGTTCTGTTCAGTGGATTGTTTAACAGTGACCAATAGCATCGTGGCTTGATCGTTACAGGATCGATCTTCATGGAATCCAGTCTGTCGATCTCAAAGTTTGTCGTCTACTGAATCTTTCATTCTGTCCACCAATACTTTGTTGAAACGTTTTCGTGGTATTAATAAGTAGTGTAATGTTTCTGCAGTTCTCGGTCTTGCTAAGATCTCCTCTGTTTGGTATTTTGATGAGGTACTTTTCTTCCCGGTTTGTTGTTACTTGTTCTTCCTCTCAAATCTCGCTGAAGAGTGCGTGGAGCATTTTTTTTCTGTTACCTCTGTGTGTGCTTTCGATATCGCAGCTTGTTTGTAGTCCCATCTTGCTGCCTTAACACTTGATTTGTCTGATAGTCATTCTGATTTTTCCATTATTGATGAGGTAACGTCTTTAGGAATTTCTGTATGTATTGGTTGGATTTCCAGGGATTTTGGTTTGTCTGGTCAACTCAAGAGTTCTTTGAAGTGCTCTACTTACCTGTGACGCTTATCTCGAATGTCAACGATTGGTTTGCCTTTCTTGTTCTTGGCTTATCGTTCTGTCTTACCATATTTCCGAACTAGTTGTAACTGTTCGATGTTTTCTTGTTCTTGTTCTCTTAAGTATTACCCAAAGTATCAACACTCATCCATTCCTTATGATTGTGCTTTATGTGGCCCGAAACCTCCTGACACGTTGAAGTTGTTGCTAGTTTAAACCCTTTTCAGTTGTTTAACATAGTAGTTTATTCTTTTTTGAGTAGATCGTCTGAGGCATGGATTTCGTTGCTGTGAGCCAACTTGAATTTGTTGACTTTGCCAGTATCCCAAAGAAATATCATATTAAACTTTTGTAATGCTGTTTGTCCAATTTTTCAGTGTTTCCTTAGCTCAGCATCTCTTCTGAATGGAATAATTGGTCAGTATTGTCATCTTAATTATTCTTACTCTAAGTTTTCAATTTTTAAAAAATCCGAATTCACATTTTAATTAGATTTTTTGTTTTTGATTGAAATCTAAGACTATTGGATTTGATATGATGACACCGTCCACTGAATCGTCAACACAAGGCACTACATACACTTCAACAACAGACTCAAATACTAATTCATCCCGGAAATTTGAGAGTTCCGTTGATGATGAAAATATTGAACGTGATAAATTATTACAAGAAGTTGAATCTCGTGATCTTATTGCTTATGGGATTATACCGGAATTTGTTGGTCGTTTCCCTATAATTACTGTTTTACATTCATTGGATGAAGATATGCTTGTTCGTATTCTTACGGAACCACGTAATGCATTAATAAAACAATATCAATTACTTTTCAATATTGATGGTGTAAGTATTAGTTTTATAGTTCTTGTATGATTAGTTAATCCTTAACATGTAATTATTTATGCTTGAAATATTCTGACCTCAAATGATAGCGCACCTACATACGTGTATGCGTGTGCTTATAATGTTTGACGAAGGGATGTCATTTAGTCATGCACAATGCGGAACCTGGCACTTATTTACAACTTACAACAGCTCAAGTTGCCACATCACGTCAGCACTGTTAGTGGAGTAGCAGAGACATCAATCATAGGTAATAGATGTATCTCAACCATTTCAGTTGTTGGAGATTCATTATCACTGCATTATTCAATTTACAACACTTACCTAGCCACCATTCATAAGAAGATACATAACTGCAAATGCGTAGGATACTTTTTTATTTCCTAACCATAGCTTATGGTTTACTAATAGTAACAGTAACATAAGTTATATCAATCGAATCGGTGAGAAAAAAGTATATTCTGATGAAAATGGAGTTATTATGGAGCTGAAGATTTTGATCACAAGTGTTTAACAATTATGAAAGTGTATTACTCCCAAATAATGTTGACCCGTCGACCGTTGAAGAGATCAGTATGGACATCACTTAAATCAAGGAAGGCAAAGCAGCTGGACCAGACAGCATCACAGCTGAGGCACTAAAAGCAGACAACAGTAACTTCAAAGATACTCCACATACTCTTCAGCAAGATTCGGGATGATGATGGAAAGAAGGACACCTGATCAAGATACCAAAGAAAGGAGATCTCAACAAGTGTCAAGACTACAGAGGCACCACCCTACCATCATTACCAGGGAATGTATTCAACAGAGTGGTATCAAACTGGATGAACGATGTAGTAAACGCCCGACTTTGAGATCAACAGGCTGGATTCCGTAAGGATCGATCATGTAACGACCAAATAGCGACACTACGAATCGTTGTGGAACAATCAATTGAATGGAACTCACCACTCTATATCAACTTCATTGACTACAAAGAAGCCTTTGATAAAGGGTACAGAACAAAACTATGGAGGCTTCTTCGACATTATGACGTCACTGAGAAGATAGTCAACATCATACGGAGTTCTTATGACGGACTAAACTGCAAGATCGTGCATTCCGGACAGCTGGTAGACTCGTTTAAAGTGAAGACCGGTGTCAGACAAGGTTGCTTACTCTCACTCTTTCTCTTTCTCCTGGTGATCGACTGGATTATGAAGACGTCAACATCTGGAGGGGAGCAAGGGATACAGTGGACAGCTAGGATGCAGCTGGACGATCTAGACTTCACAGATAATCTAGCCCTCCTATCCCACACGCAGGAACAAATGCAAGTGAAGACGATCAGTGTAGCAGCAGTGGGTTTCAACCTACACATAGGAAAAAGCAAGATTATCCGATATAATACAACATGCACCAAATAAATCACACTTGATAGTGAAGATTTGGAAAATGTAGAAACCTTTACATATCTGGGCAACAAAATCAATAAGCAAGGAGGATCTGATGCAGATATGAAAGCGTGGATTTGCAAAACAAGGGCTGCATCTCCACAATTGAAGGACATCTGCAACTGAAAAACAACTATCAACCAATACCAAAGTCACAATTTTCAATACAAATGTCAAGACAGTTCTACTGTGTGAGAGAGAAACTTAGATCACTACGAAGAGCCATCATCCAGAAGATACAAGAGTATATTAACAGTTGTCGGTGCATAATACTTCGGATCCGCTGGCCAGACACCATCAACAACTCTTACTGTGGGTGAAAACAGGGGTAAGTACTTAATTACTAAAATTGATAATTGTTAGTACAGCCATGGGAGTTGTTGATTGTCATCGAAGTCACTAAGCTATCTATGTTAAACAACTTTTCAAAATTTAGAAGCACTAGACGGCAGTTTTGTTCTAGTATGGGACTTTTCAGCAGTGCGCATCCATGACCCTGCAACCATGGCTTTAACATAGAATCTTCTGTCCCGCACCCGAGTGCTTGACCTCTAAACCACTGAGCCGGGGTCCATGGTAAAATAAATTTGGAAGTGAAGTATCATCAAGAAAGCCTGAAAAATATGAGTAATTCATTTTAAGAGCAGCAATTAACAAACCCAGGAAATGATTTATATGACTAAAGGTTACGATTATGCTTGCTTGGAGAGGTACATTTTGTTTGTACACTTAGTACCAGATTATCCGCTTATTTACAAAAAGGTTTAACAATGTAGATGACTGTGAATTGTTGATCTATTTCGACCGGATGATCAGCATGAGCACGGTATTCTGTTACCCCGATTCCTATGTACTCGTTACTTTTCCTAACTATGAAGGAAAATTTTATTGTACTCTGTTGGATAGAATGTGGATCAAGAAATCGATTACCGTAACTTCTCAGGTAAATTATTTTTTTTAAAAATAGTGTTGTGTACTTGATTTCAGTTAATTGATCTTATTTTCCAACCTATTTTATTACACTATACTGATTGTCTTTTCGGCCGTCTTGATAGTCTGTGTATTTTTTTCAATCTTAGTGTGAATTGCAAGTCACTCCTGAGGCTATTAAAGCTATTGCTCGATTAGCATTAAGTCGACGTACTGGAGCTCGAGGTCTTCGTGCTATCTTGGTAATTTCATATCTCTTGTGTGCTTGCGTTTAATTTTCATTTCTTGTTTGATCGTTATATTTCCATTTAGTTTTTATATACCATTCGAATTCCTCGTATTTTATTGTTGTGTCTGCCTTATGATCCTACTGACTGCAGCTCGGACGAGATGCTTATGCCCTGTCCTACTAAACGGAACAGTAAGGACTCGTAAAGATAGGGAAACTCGCCGTTGCCTCTTTGTCGTCTCTGCCTCCGCTCCCACTGAATTCAGCTCGGACGAGATAAAAGATGAGTTTTACAGGAACCTATCCAACTTTCTTCAAAAAGTTAAGGGCTCTGATATAGTAATAATGACTGGTGACTTTGATGCTCAAGTAGATAGACTAAGTGAAACTGGAAGTACCTGGGTGGATCTTGTGGTGTCGTGGCTCAGAGATCTGATAATTGGGTCCGTCTGTTGCTGTTATGCTCAGATAACTTCCTATTTCTAGCAAATAATAACTTCAAGCACTAGAAAAGTCACTGGCAAGTAGATTGAGTCATGTTGGTAATTATCAACTACCTGGTTGGGTTCCGCAAGATGATAGTAATCAATGGTTAGAGACCCTGAATGACATGGCTCAAAATCGTTTGCATTGGCGCAGGTGTATTTAGCCTTTGTGTTCTCTCAAATTCTAATCTTCTGGATTCTTTCTTCATCAATTCTATCTTTTTCTTTTTAAATTTATTTGACTGAATTACACTTCTTGAATAATATCATCGAACCGAACCATTACCGCTAATACTACTACTACTACCTCTACTACTATGGGATTTGAATTGACAATTGCGTCTTTATGCTACTGTAATATGGCAACTTGAACTGATGTACATACGTACGAAGTTCTACCTTGTAACTGACTGACCTCGCATTTTATACTTTTTTCTTCACAACTTTGGATAATAACAATTAATTATTAATTATTGGTCTGTTATAAGTATCAGGCTTATATTTTCTAAGAATTCACAACACCTTAGTTTGTTTTTCCTAATTGTTCGACATTTATGGAAAAATGCAAGCAAAAGCTTAAATAAGTTTGATTTTTTGAAAATGTTTGCCGGACACTGTTCTTTTAAGTACTAAAAAGGCATATTATTACCAATAACCATCATACTAGTCTAACTTAAAGCCAATTACGTGTGCATATACTTGATAAATAAGTTACACTAAGTAAGTTGCAATAATGTCTGTTTGATCCCTTGGATTGAATAAAAATAGTACTATTCTAAGGTTTCTAAAGAAAACTTGTAATGTGATGATGATCGTACGTCATTCACTTGATGATGTCAATGAGTGTAATTTATTCTGTGTTGCTGTTAGCTGTAGTTATAGGACATTTGTGCCAATAATAGTGTTGCGACAGTTTCTTCCTCAATCCAGGGTAATTAACGATCAAATCGGATCAAATACTTATTTCAGTAGCCTAGTGTTGAATTATCAAACTGAGTAACTACTTTGAACAGCCACCGTTTGCTAAAAACAGAAGTTTCTTCTCAGTGAAAGTCAAGATTGATAGGATGAATGAGTCTAGACAAATAACTGTCTCAGGGTCATATGACAAGTCAGATTCGGGCATAGATGAACGACAATAAGTAAATGGATTACTCACTTGAGCAAGGTCATTCACTACCCACATGTCCATGTCTAGGTTGTTCTGCCTATCTGCCTAGTAATTGGTTTAGGCTGTTTATCAAAGCAAACACTCAGTTGAATTTGCTATTCAATTTCTTCGATTATTTCTTCTAACTTTTCAAGGTAGTTAAACTCATGATCCAAATGTATGGAACTTTATAAATTTAAATGCTTGGTTATTTATTTTCAGTTGAACGGGTAATATACACATATTCATAAGTCATAGATAAGACTATTTATTACAGAATCACTTACAACAAGGACTGATTATAATCTCTGAACTGCCTAACACTGTAGAAATTTATCAATTTTTTTTATTGTGCTTTTGAACATTTGAAAAAAAAAAACGAAACTGCAACCAACAGTTCATACAAAGGAGAATTGTTGACGACAGACTTTATTTCGCCATATCAAATTTAATCATACTTCCCAATAACTAATTATAGTAGATTATAATAATGAGACTGTGGTATTCTGTATCTACGAACAAACAGCTCTGTTAAGGTCAATTTATGAAACATGAAATATTTCACAATTTGATAAAATTAATTATTAGCACATGCAGTCAGTGATTTAATTTTATATTAGTTACAATGAAACATGCATTCTATAATGAATGGCTCAATTGATATAAAGCAGTATCATAAATGTGTTGATTATTTTTTATCTACCTCTTTTAACTTTCAACTTTTCATTTGTTCTGTCTCAGGAATTCTATTTTATGTGTTTATTTAAGCACTGATACCGTCGTCGATAGTGTTATTGCTTCGACTCCTAGTGTTCATCTTGTTAGTGTCTTGTTTATCTATTGAATCGATAAGTGAGCCTGTGTTTGGAGTCCATCCAATAAGTCACGAGTTTGAACCCCGTTTCATCTACTTCTACAATCGGGTACTGTGAATACTCTTCATACATTTAGACTATGGCTAAAAGTGAAGTACATAAAATTATACTTACTAAATGGATGATGTTAGAATCCTTACGAAGTTTCAACAACTGTTACTTCATTTACTAATTCACTCACTAACTGAGTATTAACTTGTAAGTTAATGAGTTTACACATTGAAATTATCAATCAATCACTATTAGAAACCTGAAAGCACTGGACGGCCGTTTCGTCCTGGTATGGGACTCATCAATAGTGTACATCTGCGATTGCTGCTACTCGCAGGATTTGAACCCCTGGACTTTAGATCTTGCTTGCGAATGCCTAACCTCTGAATTTAGTTTGACTATATAATGAATACAGTTCCTGTTGTTCAACACTAGATCATTGATGTTGAAGTTCTTATAGTTTCCTCTTAATCTAGGATTATATTTTTCTGACATAATCATATATACATGATCTGAATTCATTTCATCTCTTTCAAGTCTGTTAACTATCTATCTTTAAAGTTTTATTATTTCAAATCAATGAAAAAGTGATTTTTATTCGGCAAAGTACATTAATTCAATCTATAAAGAAAAACGTGTACTATTAACATACGTTAAGTATATTTTTGTACAGTTGCTTTTATTTCTATTAATCAAGTGATATTTCCTTTATCTTAAGAAAAAGAAATAAATGCCAGAACAAAATTATTAAACAAGCGAATCGGGAAACTTTGTATTTTAATCGTTGTTTAATATCAATTCAGATCCAGTTTTAGACATCATCTGACTTTATAGTCCGATATTTGTGATATACATATAGATTAAAATGTTCATGCCTCATTATATAAAATATAGAATAGTATTATAGTTTTGATCCATGTAAAATTTATTTCACTCATTTATAATAAGTAGGTAAATAGAAATTCATTGGACGCGAGTATGTAGTAAATAGGAATGACCTTAAAATGGCCTTGACAATCGGGGTAACCTAATATTTAGCCAATTAGAAAACAGACACATACATCTCTTACCAGATAAGATAAAAATGGTGTGTAGGACAGGAAGTCAACGAACGGATTTTGTTTTTTTTTCTATTCAATAAATTGATTCAAATCATTTGCATTTAGTTGTTTATGATCAATAAAAATAGAAGAACCACACAAGTAGTAACCCTATACACATCAACTCATTGTGTGACGACTGTGAATTTTCTGTTCTTATTCTTAGACATGAATGTCATAAATTGAGAATCAACTCATTGTTAAATGTTAACAAGTATTAGCTAATTGGATAGCTTGTGTATACATATACGTTTAGTTTTTACTTTTGAAGATTATTATCATTATGGTTAGATCAGTCAATTTCATTACTTAATCGTTAAGGTTTTTCCATGATATGCATTGAATTTGCATTACGGGGTGGTGGTGTAGATTGTTAAGTTACACATTTTTGAAACCATGAATCGATCAATGTTATTAGACCACACCATTAGAAACCTGGAAGCACTAGTTTTCGATAAAGAAATTCTACTTTATTGCATTATACATATTGTTTTGGTGTATATGAATAATAATTTAGGAAAATACTTAGATATTACGATCAAGCACCTTTATATATATATGATTAATTGTTATTTTAGATTAATTCATGAGAACCTGAATGACATGGCACAAAATTGTTTTCAATGGCGCAGTTGCATTCATGCATTGTGGTCTCTCAAGTCCTAACTTTCTGAATTCCTCATCACTTCTATCTTTCTCTTCTTAAGTTTATTTCACTAGATTCTACTTCTTGAATAATATCTTCGAACCCTAATTTTCTCTACTACTGCTAATACTTTTACTACCTCTACTACTACTATAGCATTTGAATTGAAAATTGCCTCTCTGTGCTAACGTCATACGGCAACTGGAACTGATGTACGTACGTACGAAGTTCTACGTTACTGTTGATTGATTGATTGAGATTAATTCATGTCAGTCAGATGCAACGTAGAACTTTGTACATAAGTACATCAGTTCATGTTGCCATACCACATCCTCTATGATTGTTTAGTTACTTTTAATTGAATATTTAACTTGAGGATATTTGAAAATCCTGTATCTTTTAACTGTCTATCGAATTTGTTTGAATTTCATTTGTCAGTATTGTGTGTATGTGTGCAAAATCAAGTCAATTATCAACAGTAAAAACCTGTTTCAACTATTTAAGGGATGGAAGATGATAATTGTCAATTTTTTCAAAGTTGATTTTATTGAACACATTATTCGGATTTATTTAGTATAAATAAATAAAATTATTATTTTAGCGAAACAGTCACCAGCCCCTTTTGTGACTGACTACATTTGAATTTGATCAAGTTAGACATTAACACCGTTAGTTACCGTCTCAGTGGTCTATCGGTTAGGGCGTTCGCGCTCAATACCGAAGGTCCTGGGTTCGAATCCTGCAGGGTGCAGGAGTCATGGATGCGCACTACTGAAGAGTCCCATACCAGGACGAAACGGCCGTCTTTCAGTGCTTCCAGGTTTCTAATGGTGGTCTAATATTAATCGATTCATGGTTTCAAAAATTTCTAATAAACACTAAAAGTTCTTACAAAAATCTAGGCGTCGTACTTTTTTTATTGAAATGTGAAGGTTGTTTCGCCTCATTCGTTTTCTTTGCATAGAGAATCATGTGATTTTTTTTGTAATTTGAATTTCACATTACTATCATAAGGTCACAGGGTTTTTCACTTCTTTTTTCTTTTTTTTCCAATGATTTGTCCTTGAATATTTTTGTATTTTTAATAGTTCAAAAATAAAATTTATTTGAATATTTGGTCTCTACTATACATTCGCATCTATCTATCTATCTGTCTAACGGGGGGAATGTCCTTTACATATTGATTTTCAATAATTATGCTACATGTGATCGAATTGTGAATAAAATCAACTCAGAATGTCACTCACTCACTCACTAGCTTGATTGATTGATTGATTGGTTGTATAGTGCATATGAAATATAAACTAATCTAGCAATTCCAATCATTTCGGGGCAGAGTTTTGGAGGTTTGTGTTTTTTTACACATTTGAAACCATCAATCAATCATTGTTAGACCATGCCGGCCCAGTGATCCGATGGTTAGGCGTTCGCGCACAATACCGAATGTCCCGGGTTCGAATCCTGCGAGGAGCAGGAGTCGTGGATGCGCACTGCTGATGAGTCCCATACCAGGACGAAACGGCCATCCAGTGCTTCCAGGTTTTTAGTGGTGGTCTAACAATGATTGATTGATGATTTCAAATACTAATCATGTTGAATGAGTGAACATGGATCATATTCGTAGGAGGAAATATTACTGAATTTTAAATTTGGACAGAACTACTCAAACCTTTCCATATTCCGTTGCCTTCAGTTTTAAGAGTAGTTAGCTGTCAGCTTTTGTTACATGCTTAATTCAATGATAACTGGAAACTCATGCAGTTAAGGTTCACTGGAAGCTTACAATTAAGACAATATAGAAATGCAATAGAACAGTTATCTGCTGACTAATTATGCTATAAAAATATAATTAATGATCAGAAAGATAGTTTCGAGAATTCCAACTCCTTTAATTTTTTCCTTTTACTAACTACTTGATTCTTCAATTCAAGTCGCAGTATTTTACAGACACCATAGAAGAAGTGAATACATTGTGTGCAATAAAATAAAGGAGATAATGGCAAAAGCGTCTGGCATCATTATCATATAGGCGATATAGACAAGAAAAATACAGAAAGCAGTTTCAAATGATATTTTAAAAAATATGTTATGTGATTTCATCTTCGTTGCCTCTATCATGACAAGCATGGATCGATAGGTGGTGGTTAGTAGTGGAATCGAGGACACGTTTTGTCCTATATGGGACTCATCAGCTACAATCTATCGGCTATATATAGCCTATATTACGATAACAACAAGAATAAAATGATCAATCAATCATTGTTAGATTAGCATTAGAAACTTGGAAGCACTGGACGGCCGTTTCGTCCTGGTATGGGACTCTTCAGCAGTACGTATCCACGACTCCTGCTCCTCGCAGGATTGATTGATGATTTCAAATGTGTAAAAACACAAAACCTCCAAAACTCTGCCCGAAAACATCGTAACAGTGCTCAATAGTGACTAGCTTCGTGAGGAAATTCTCGGAGTTCTAGTGAGTACACGTGACCAGTAGAGTTCAACCCTGTCCGGTATAGGCAGTAACTGCCAAAGAGTAATGGGTGAAGTCGCACAAAAATCCGTAGATCATTCAGAGTTAGACATTAACACCGTTGGATACCGGCACAGTGGTCCGATGGTTAGACGTTCGCGCACAATACCGAAGGTTGTGGGTTCGAATCCTGCGATGTGCAGGAGTCGTGGGTGCGCACTGCTGATGAGTTCCATACCAGGACGAAGCGGCCGTTCACTGCTTCCAGGTTTCCAATGCTAGTCTAACAACGATTGATTGATGATTTCAAATGTGTAAAAACGCAAAACCTCCAAAACTGTGCCCGAAAATAATAAAATGGAGTGAATTAAAATCATTTTTCTAACTATGAGTGAAATATATAAAATGGAAAAGAAATCGATAAATCCGAAGGCGGTCTGTTGACAAAAGTGATGTTAAATGAGAAGCTGTAAGCATCCGACTGAGTATTTTCATTTTTTTTACTTCATATACCACCGATTTCAACAAATGTGTATTTGATTTGAATTTTTTGTTTTTGATTGTTTCATTTTTTAATTATCTAGGAAAAAATATTGTTACAGCCACGTTATGAAGTTCCTGGATCGGATATATCCACGGTCATTCTTACTGAAGATGCTGTACTTGGTCATTCCCCACCGGAATATTATCGATTTACATCACTTATCCCATCGGCTATTTCATAATCTCTGTTCCCTTGTCCCTACTGTCTCATTATAATAAATAATAATAATAATTACTATTATTATTATTATTATTATTATTCAGATTATGATTAGTTTATATATGTATTCTAAAAGATATAAACCATGGACATAAATGTCTGTTCTGATTTACCAATCTTGTTTATTCTATATTATTCGTTTTTTTTTGTGTGTGTGAGTAGAATAAGTTTTATAGTATTATTACTATTATTATTATTATTATTATTATTATTATTATTTTCATTAACTCGTGACTTCAATTATTATTGCTATTATTATTATTATTACTATCATTGTCTTCTATCTTAAATAGTCAGTAATTTGTGCTAACTAATGATGTGATTAACCAATAAATTGTGAATGATGCAGATTCTTTGTGTGTAATTGACATCGGCGGAAATTCTACCGTACAACAATTTTGCCTACCTTTTAATTGATTGTATTCAGATCAAAATTTAATGTAATATGTGCATACACTAGACAATTTCATACATGATCGATCACATTGGAGTGTATGTATTGTTCTGTGTCCTTGACTCATATATATATTCTTTTATTTCTTCACCTCAATTAAATTACTTCTGTATACACTTACAATTATGAGTATTTATTTTCAAATTGCCTGATGTATGATGTATACATGTATACATTTACCTATACCATATACACGTATATAGATAGATGTGTGTACACATGCTTATGTGCTTGTCTATATTCTATAAACATGTTAGTTGATCTAGTTCAGGTCATTTAACACATTGTGTTCAGTGTTGATGACGTATGGTGTCTGTTTTTTTTGCTCTCTTTTTTTTTGAACTTTAGAAATTATTCATATTTTCATGTTCAAGACCAATTAGATATCATCATCTGTTGAACTTTGTGAGAACGATAGAAATGTATGAATTGAGTAGTGTTAGTATTGACAACAACAACACCAACACACTTATTTTTGTCTATTCTAAGTTATTATTATTATTATTATTATTTCGATTTGGTTTTATTTATCTTGCTTTTTTTTCATGGATAATAATTATTTGTCTTTAAAAAAATAATACGTTGGTCAGATTATTGTTATTTTGTTGTTATTGTTGCTGTTATTACCGAATCTTGAGTTTTTATTCGGTGGTGATTGGTGATCAACTGATGTGACAGTATAAATTTGTGTTAATTTCTTACTGTTTAAACACCAATCAAGATGATCATGTCACTGTATCCTGATCTATATTGAAGAGTTCCTTTATTTCATTAGGATTTACTTTACTATTGTATGCCTTAAGATGTGTATATTTAAACTATCTAAACTTCACTCTCAACCGAGCTATATTGGCTGGAACATATGTTCCTGAAGGTTCTACCATGCCAGGCAGGTCGATTGGAGAACGATGAGACTGAAAGCAGCTACTCAAGGTCTGAGAGCAAAGTCGTACTGCTGACTGCAGAGGGGTGTGACAGCAGTAAGGTGTTTCCCCTGGACAAACAGCATTTGCAGTGATACTGGGGAAGGAAAGGTTAGAAAATGTCGACACTAAGAATGTCACACCTCACCCTACCTCACGGATTTCCGTCTCCGGCGGTAAGGGCTGCCCAATAAGGCTTTTAAAAAGAACGGAGCTAACACTTCAAAAACTTATCATAAAAAGGCCGTGCGTGACCGGCCTCAAGCAGTTGTCCCTTGGTCTCTAAGGTCAAGCTCCCAGGTCTCTAAGACGGACACTAATCTACCTTCCTTTTGAGGTTCTTCAAGAAACACCCTTTCACGGTGTGGGCAGCCGGGAAGTGACAACCTCCCTCATACCCGTAACAGCACTCGAGACCAAAGTGGTCACATTCAAGTCCTTCCTATACCCCTCAATATCTCCCTTATCTCCACGACTAGCTTTACTAACATTCCTTTATCACCCCGCACCTCTGATGCAAACGATTCTAGTTCCTGGTCTCTTGAAACCCCGTTCTAGACTATATGTTGGAGCTTTTAATGTACGGACATTGTGTCGAATAGGTCAACAGGCTTCCTTAGCATTCCACAACATAAATCTTTATTCACTCCTGAATGCCCTGGTACGGCCGAGGTGGGAGAGAACCCACTCACCCTCTTGAACTGGTTTCATATGACCATGCCTATATAGCCAATACTGGGCAAGTATTACTCATTACCCCACGGCGGGAGTGTTTACGAAATCGATGTCCAAACGGATATCCAACGCATAAACTGGGTTGATACGGTAAAGAGGATCTCCCTTCATAAGTATGAGTACAAAATCAAGATACGTCTGATTGTGTAATGTTATTATTTTCAATGGTTAAATTTAGTATTTTATGTTTAGTGTAACACAAAAAATGACTTCGTAAAGTCCTTTTACACAAACAGAATTAGTCGATAACTGCATACATATACACACGAAATCATGTTAACTCACTGTCTGAAATTGGATGAAATGCTTTTTAATGAAATGAAAGTCTATACAACTTTTAATGAATAACACATATATAAGAATACAAGTTTATGACTAGGTCAGCTGTTACAACTTGTCCATGATTTAGTATATTTGATGGATACTGTATTGTAGAATTTTTATACCTTTGCTTGCATGCATGGATTCGAATATATTTTTCGACCGGAAGCTGTAAAAGGAGATAGAGAGAGTGAGTGCAGCAGATGATTAACTTTTGATAAGATAACACTTGCTAGGAGTTCACAAGATTTCAAACGTCTGTGCGTAACCATGTTCGTAATAATTTCAAAAGAATTACAATTTCTTGCTAACCGCCTTCATAACTCTCCACAACACAACAGAATCGTTTCTCGAGAGGCCCAAGAAAGAATAATGAGGAATCATAAAAATAGTAATAGGTAATATACAATAATTTACAAATTGTAAAATTACATGTTGATTAATATCAGAGGCATGTAGTCATTTCATGTAATAGATCAAACTGGAAATTTTCTTTGATATCTATAAAACATGAGAAGATTAAGGAGAGATTGGAGGAAACATCAAGATGAATGACTGTTGCCACTTTTTACTTAAAAAAATTTCCCCATCGTACAATTTTTACGTGATTCCAACATGGTGTTTTAAAGTGCTATTCATGTTTCAGGCTAGAATCAACTTCGAAATTTAGAAGGATGAAGTGTGAGACCATTAACAATAGACCATCATTCAATTAGTGACAAAAACCCGTTTATTTCAAGGGGAATATGAAGAGGTAGAAATTTGTGTATATATGATGAGATAATCTGCATACCTAAAAAGTGTTTTCGGTCGAACATGACAGATTATGTAAAAAAAATGAGAAAAGGGGAATGAATTGGTCCGTTTGGCACACAATGCGTTGGTAATGACGTTGAACGATTCCTTATAATCGTAGTATACTATTTCCTTGGAAAGAAGTGAGATTACTGGCAGCTGCCATTGATGTTGACAGGATTGATCTTGCATATCAAACATATTTTTTTCACCCTTTTTCCAAGCTGAACACTTATAATGCAGAATGACAGCAGCATCTAAGGTATTTCTTTTACATTTGTAAGAAGACTTATAAGGATTCATATGCTATCAGTTTACGTCGAACTGGGAGCAGCAATATCTTTTCGGTTGTTTTGAGAAAGGTGAAATAACTGCTATGGGCCTTAATTTTGTATTCTTATCACCCGATACTTTCTTCAACACTATGATTATTCTCATTTTTCTCCATATTTTTGGTATGAAACTAAATGAGAGTGGTTCTTTAAAAACACTCGTGACTGGATGATACAGAACGTGATCACATTTCTTAAAAAAGAGGTTTAAGATTTCGTCAGTTATTAAACATCAGGACGAGTCAAGTGATTAGAGACGTTTTCGAATATAAGTTTCAATGAGAATCGAAATAACTCTCTTTCAAACTTGTGGATGTGGCAAGCATAATATCAGTTGACTGAAGTACAAAAGACCTATTCAACCACAAACAACCAGCTTTAACAGATTTTTAAAAAATACCCAACGAGACGTAGATATTACTCAGTAAATATGCTATGACCATTCAATTATCGTTCATGTCAATGTAATTTATTTTCACATGTAATTACTGGACAGCAATGTCTGTACTGCACCCCCTGGTATGGATTTCATTATAATTGTGGAATAAATCATTATTTGCTATCCACTTGTCAAACTGAACAAGACCTATATCATTTGATCCAAACAAGAATTCAAGGCTGTAAGTGGCAATTCATTTATGCACCAAATCGATCAAATGAACATTAGAATATTATATGTACAAATATGTATAAAAATCATTCTACATGACTAATCAATCATCAGATTTGAATTGATTGAACTGATAAGATTAGTTGACAGTGATCAATCAATAAATAATTCAACAGAGCTGTTATATAGTCTAACAAAATCAATCGATATACTTACTTACTTACTTACTTACTGCTTTAACTAATCAATATAATTAAATTATTGAGTTCCATAGTTTGTTCATTTTTATCAATATGTCTGATCAGTTAATTTACTGATTTAAAAAAAAATAATATCTCGGTTATCTGTTTTTGATATTACTTTAATTAACAGATAGTCTACTTATTAACCAACAAAAAACAAAACAACGATAATCTTGTTGATCATTAGAGAAACAGAGTTGAAAAAGAGTTTCTTGAAATAATTCCTGGTTAATAAGCATTATTCATTGAAAATTTTTCAATAGTTGAAATCGAGGTGCATCCTATTTTTTTTAATTGATTTATTGACTCGGAAAAAAAATTGAACCGTTTATTCGTTCATTTAAACAAATGATCTTATTTTTTTTCTCATTTGTACACTAATTAATGATAAATTTCACAAATAATAGTCGAAGTAAAAGTTAACAATCATTCTTACTACAATATAGCTATTAAAAGTAGTCATTGAATCAAACAGTTTTCATTGTAAAAAGTATCATATATGATCAACGCTCAACAAACGATTCAATGATCTTGTTGAGTATATTTGTGTCTATATTGAATTTAAACAGTTTAATAAGAGTAATGTTATTAGTATCTTGGATTTCTTTGAAATAACGACTTCATGATGGAAATTGAGGAACTTTCTTCTTATGAAAGTCATTTCTTCATGACTGTTGGATTTATAACCACTGATAGTTAGAAAATAATGTTTTCAAACTTTTTGAGAGAAAACATGCTCATTCACCAACAACCGGGTGTCAGCTGGTGCGTTTATTCTTCTTCAGCTTGTTATATCAGAGCGATAACTGACTAACTAATGGATTATTGTTATTTATATTCTTATTGTGTAACTATTGAGTAATTAGATTATGATATAAACGTATTCCTTATATTACAAGCTCTCGATGAACTCAGAAACGATTATCATACGATTTACAGATCATATTTTGTCGCCGATCTGTTACTTACTGTCTCCCCTACACCCAGACACTTTTAGCTCATTCATGTATAATATTATTAGTTTTGTTTTATGATGTGATGCAATTTGGTCTGCCTGTACACCAATCACATCTTTGTGAAATATAATTATCATGGTGGAGGTTGAAAATCTACTTCTGAACTCAAGGTCAGGATGGAGAGAGAATCTATAGTCGTAAATCCTTAAGGATTTAAATGTTAACTTAAATTTATTAGTGTTGGTTGAACCTGATTTAATTGATCTAGAGAGACTAACTCATAGAAACCGAGATTCTGATTAGTGGTTTTTTTCACGTGGTTTTAGTAAGCGGTTGAAAGTCATGACATAATTGTTCTATGGATCCTTCAGTGGGAAAAGACTGGTAGTTGGAGAACGATTATGTTGAAATGTTATGCAGTTAGGATTTGTCAAATAGAAAATCTTATTTAGCATTTTACTTCGGATAAACATGGTTGATGTTTGAAATCTTTTTCAGAAAAATTGACTATTGATAATTTCTACTAGTAATACTATTGAAATATGTTAACACTGGGGAAAGCGTAAGTGCTTCATTGATCTCAATCTTGTATTCATAACTCAATTAGTCTTCTTCGTTTATTTGATTACATTTTTGTAGTGCTTACAATCAATAAGATTTTTAAAAGTTTAAACTGGTCATCCAAACTATACTCATGTGATAAATAATTCTTGTCTGTGCACGTATTTATTTAAGGCAACTGCAGATCGATAAATACCGTAAATAAAATCATACTACTTAAATTTAATCTAAGTAGTTCGTAGTGTACACTAAATGTTTGAGAAAATATGTTCCTTTGGCAGTTGAAATAGTTTACATCTTATATAATAACCGTTAGCTGGAAACTGCCATTAGTGGGAATTCGGAATCAAACCGATCATTGTATTTTTGGTTTTACTAGTTTACCAGTGACAGTCACAGAGCTTAATAACTAAAAAACATAGCTAATGCACTCTATGTGGTAAGGATAGTTTAACAAAAGTCCTTAAAAATAGTCGATTCAGTGGGAAAATCAAGAGGTAAGCCAAAAAAGATATCTTCAATGTTACGAATTTGACTGCTAGTCTGTATAAGTTCAAAATAGTTGTGTTAAACTATTTGACTGTCAATGATACATTCGATGTAATAAGAGATGGGATGGAATTCTGGGTTATTCATATATTACTTAATTAACCTGATTTGCAGTGGTTGAATCAGAATTCGCAAACTGGAGATTAGCATAGGCAATTGATTTTTAGATACGAATGCAAGAACTCGCATTTTCACCACACAGCCTAGTTTTATGAAATCTAGTTTCTCTAAATGAAGTGTGATAACATGATTTTTGTACACAAACCAGTATTTAGTTATCGAGTTGTGTTTAACAATTTCATCCGTACGAACAGTTCAACAATACACATGAATGAAAAATATAATATAATTGTCATTTAATTATCGGTATTTCTGCAGTAAAATACTTGATTTTATAACAACCGAAGTATATGAACTATTTGTTGTTAAATTTTTCTACTTTTTCCAGCAGTTAACAGATTACTACCACTAAATCTGTCCACTATTTCCCAACGTCAGTTCTTCGTTACGTGAAATTTCATTATATCAACTATACTACTTATAAGTAGTAGGTAGTTTCAACCATAACAAATCGTTTTCAAATTCTTCCTTCATAACTGATATTCCTTCGATACATATATCTACCGCCACAGATACTCTGGAACATTTATTAAGCTTTTGAAAACATTTCGCCATTTTGATCATCCTTACTTTTTGTGGTTAGCTATGTTTTTGAGACAATTTTCATTTCCAGCAACTGACTTGTTTTCTAATTCTAGTGCTAATTCTCTTGTTTCTTTGTTATTTACCCCATGTACTCATTCTCTCATTTTAAATGAAATGTTTTACACTCAGTCATCGGTTTTTTATGTTGCTTTCACTGAAATCTGAACAGTTTATGCTTATTTCATTTTCTGTAATATAACAACTGGTCTTATGCAAAAAAGATTCATATCGCGTAAAACTAATGGTGGTCTAACAATAATTGATTGATGATTTCAAATGTGAAAAAAAACACAAATCTCAAAAAGTCTGACTGAAAATATCGTAACAGTGCTCAATAGTGACTAGCTTCGTGAGGAAATTATCGGAGTTCTAGTGAGAAGACGTGTCCAATGGAGTTCAATCCTGTCCGGTGTAGGCAGTAACCACTGAAGACAAATGAGTGAGGTCGCGCTAAATCCCTAGATCAATCAGAGTTATACATTAACACCGTTGGACACTGGCTCAGTGGTTCGATGGTTAGGCGTTCGCGCACAATACCGAAGGTTGTGGGTTCGAATCGTGCGAGGTGCAGGAGTCGTGGATGCTCATTGCTGCTGGTGAGTCCCATACCAGGACGACGCGGCCGTCCAGTTCTTCCAGGTTTCTAATGGTGGTCTAACAATGATTGATTCACGATTTCAAAAGTGAAAAAAACACAAATCTCCAAAGCTCTAACTGAAAATTCGATTTTGTCTAGTTAGAATTCATTAACTGCCTAAATCAATGATAGTCTAATACAATCTAACAAGTATTCAGTTCATTCATTCAATTAAAATATACTTACAAACAATCTAACTAATAAGTATCATTATTCTTACAAACTAATTTATATGAAATAGGAAGAAGCTTTAGTAGTCAGTAGTAGTATTAGTGGTAGTTGTAGAATTGCTAATAAAAATAGGCAGCAATTATAAGTGAAAAATAAATTTATTTGTTATTTTGTAAGCAAACAAGCAATAATTTTTTTCTTATCTTTCTTCTGTATTGACGCGTATGCGTCTCTGTGTATGTGTGTGTGCGAACACACGCAGCATCTCCTTGATCAAGTACAGTTTTTTTTGATAATTTCATTATTATCATTATTACAATTATGATTATTATGTACAAAAATGTTTGTTTGTGCATCATTTATAATTAAACTCTCGATTCAGTGATAATTAAAATATAAGAAAACAAAAAGAAGAGGAAAATATCCTTGAAAAAATAACACATAAAGTTGTGTACTTCTGTATGTATGTACGCAGGTTTATGCGTTTATGTATATGTGTGTTAGTAGTAGGTATGCATGTGTTAGACATATATATGTATATATATATATATATATATATATCCGTATAAATATTCAATTGATCAATGTTTCAATTGTAAATAGTTTCATTTTGCCAGTTGAAATAATCAAGTTTAATGTTAGAATGTAAAAATCTTGGGCATAGAAAGCAGAAAAGAAAAAAAGATATTCATCTAATCTTATCAACAAAAAAATTCCTCTGTTCAATCACATAGTTTTACACATATGTATATATATCATCTGACTTATTATGTATGTATGTACAAGCAGACGGTAGATTATAATAATAATATTAAAGAAATTATGAATGAATAGTAGTTTTCAGTTAGTTAGTTGATCTTTAAGAAAAAAATTTAAAAAATACACATCTTATTACACGTGATAATGTGAATAAATAAATACGTAGAAATGACAGTTTTTTTACACATATTGGAAGTCAAAAAGTAGTTGAGTTAAATTTTTTATAGAAGAAGACGAAGAAGAAGAAGACAATCTTTAAATATTCCAAAATACCTTTTTTTTTTTTACTGAACAGATTAGTTTCGATTGAATTCTATGCCCATATTGTGATAAGAAACTGTATGTAGTAGTACATACAGTTGATGTGCATTACATATCTGTGATCTTTTTTTTTAAAAAAATAGTTACATTCATATGAAAAATTGACGTGGTATGTATGGTCATAGGATGTTAAAAATTTCAAACAATAGTGATATTATTATCATTATCATAATACTGTTTCATTAAATGTGTCATTCATTCTATCCTCATAACTTGCACGTATCCAATAAGGCAAACTAATATTAAATGGTGAACTAATTTGACTAATCGAACGTGTACATCGACGTGCAGCTGGTCCATTGCCAAAAATTCGTTTTTTCACTGATTTCATATTTCGTTTATCGAATCGACTTTGACGATCCAGTGATTTTTCTGTTGATGTTTTTTGAATTGGATACAATGTAAGATTCACTAAACTTGATGCTTCATTTTGATGTGTATTGTTTATGCTAGTCATATATTTATCCGTTGGTATTGGTTTAGTTAAATCACTAACACTATAACTACCTGATTTTGGTGGGAATTCAATGTCAGTTGAATGAATTTTATAATTTGAATTGATTGAATGCAGATCATTACTGTCTAAATCGGATATCGTTGAAGAGATTGGTCTATCAGTGATTGAATTAAAAAAACATGATGAATTTCTATTTGATGAATGATCGGAATTGGGAAAATTTTCACGATATAGCTTTACAGTATCTTTTCTAACAATATAATTTGTGTATAAACGTTTTCCAACCTATCAAAGCAAAAAAATACAATTAAAAGTGTTCAATAAAACAACAAATAAAAATGAAATTGACAGAAATGGATAAGTAATTTTTTGAAATTATTAAAATACACACACATTAGCCAGGTATCAACGGATGCAACAGTCTACATTTTTGACTTGAATCAATAAGCTGTCGACTTAATTATAGACGGTACCTCACTGGACATTATACTAATTTAATGGTGTATATCGAATTCAAAAGTTTATTCATATTCATAGACAACAATAACTAGTTGATAATTGAGCAATGAATCTTCATTGTCTTAACAGTTCAAAATAAAATAAGAAATTCAATGTTGTTTTTTTTATTCAGTAAGCTGAATAGAAGGTAATTGAATTAAACAGGTAATTAATTTTAAATTGATGAGAGAGATTTATTCACCATAAATCTTTTAAAGTGTTAACCTTTTCATTTCGTGTATAATGTAATTATTATTGCTCTTTTTTTTAAAAAAAAATCTTAATTTGTTTATTCATGAAATTGTTTAGTGAAATTGGATTATAAAAAGTTTCTCAATTCAAAGAAAGCATTATATATTCATCGCAAAATACTTTGGATTCGTTGTCCAGATACGATCAGCAACAACGTAATGTAGGAGAGAACAAACCAGATTCCAGAGGCAGAGAAGAAACGGTGGAAGTGGATAGGACATACACTACGAAAAGCACCTAACTGCACCACAAGACAAGCCCTCACTTGGAACCCTCCAGGTAAAAGGAAAAGAGGAACGCCAAGGAACACATGACACTGAGAAATAGAGAAAGATATGAGAAGAATGAACAAAAATTGGACAGAACTAGAAAGGGAAGCCCAGGACAGAGTTGGTTGGAGAAAACTGGTCGGCGGCCTATGCTCCATTGAGGGTGACAGGCGTAAGTAAGTGAGTAAATAAGTTACGAGATGAATGCTGAAATGATCCAGTTAGGGTCTGTGATGTAAATTCAACGAAGTTATTATTGAAATATTTACAACAACAGTATAATTGAATGATGGTAAGTGTTTATTCCATATTGGTGGAATTTAGATTTGTTTAACAGATCACTTCTGACTAAATGTCTCACAAGCACTAGATTTCTTAAGAAATATGATTATCTCAATTAGAAAATTGTCGACGGCTTAAGTTGTAAGTTATTAAAAGAATTTAACATTCACTATGAAACCTGAAGGTCTGATCCTCAGTGAGAGCACTGTTTCTCACAACTGAGGAATCCTATAATCGGATGAAATCGCACCCCAATACTGCCGGTTTCCAATCAATTTCGAAACATATTTCTTTATTGTTGACTATTTTATTCAAATAATTTTCCCGCGCCTGTTTCTCAGTTGTAGTGTCATTTAGTTTAGTGAAGCTTTCCTTCTGGTGATCTATTCTATCAATCATATACTACTTACAGAATAATATATATATATAACCATAGTTGTCAAATTATATTCTTTGGTTAGTTTATTCCAGTCATCAATGTTATCGACCAATATCATCTATCTATTGAGTTCAATCTTCAATTACTTTTTTATTTAACAATTGCCTTAAAAATATGACCGGATATTTTATTCGTATAGCTTTCAAACTCTTTTGTTTTATAAATAATCCGTTGCAAGTTTTATTCTAGTTTTTAAAAAAAATTTCTTTACACTTACAAAGTAATAAAATTTATTATGCTTCATTAACTATCGGACATTAGACAATTTTAACCAATGATGCAATATCAACAGTAATCATAATCATAATAGCAATAATACGAATAGTAATCATTAACTTATCTATGATTTCGATTATATAAAGTAAACCGTAATGCTTTATTTGTTCTCAGACAACAATAATAATAATAATAACAATAGTAACGATAATAATTACACACAATAAATATTTTATTCATTTTTTAGTTCAACACTATACTACTAAAGCTATTATTATTATTATTATTGCTTTTATTTATGAATTAAAATAATAATAGGTTAACTTTATTACTTTCTCTATCATTGCTAGTCCATATCTCATTTCTGATTGAAATAATAATTTTATTCATTGTGTTTTTTTATGTTCACCTACATACACAATCTCTCTTTCATTTTCACATTCTATTTTGTATTGGAAAAAATTTTCAATGGGCGTTAATATTTGTTTAATAGAGAATTATGTGAATAAAATATAGATATATATATATATATATATATGTAGGTACAGTTGATAACAGCTATCTAAAGCTGTAATAATATCATATTTTATTTAGTTGGTTAAAATAAATTCATTTTAGGTAAATGTGTTAACTATTTGCTAAAGATGGTCGTGTCATATTATGGATCAGTTGAGAACTTAGATGTTAATGCCGTCGGATGCTGGTCTAAAGTTTGCGAGTTCGTGGCTTATTACTGAAGGTCCTGGAATAGGTTCCCATGTGCGGGGGGTCGCGGACCTACACTACTTAGTAGATCCGTACTAGGGCCATCCAGTGCTTCCAGGTTTCCAGCGGTGGTCTAACACTGATCGGTCCATGACTTGATTTTTACTAAATATAGATGAAAACGTGATTGTTAAGTTACACTGAATCAGCTTAATGATATTGTATTTGGAGGGAGATCTGAATGTTTTCATATGAATCCTACGTAGTATTGTGACTGTTAATATGATGATGAGATTCAAGCTAAAAGAAATCAGCTGTTTTAATACTCACCAAGGTTTACGATGGCTTCCCAACCGATGATGATTAACTATCACGAAAAATTTTTCAGGAAATTGAAAATAAAAATGATGATTTTTATTTTATTAAACCGTACCACAGTGGTTAAAAATCAGGACATTAAAGTGTCATCACGATTACAGCTTTGTTTATTCACCTTAAAATATATAATTGCAACAACTCACTTATACATTGTTACACTGTTTTTGGTATGGCTTATTCTATTTGCTGTTTCGGCTCAATGGAACTTACATTCAAACCGGTCATAACCTTCAAAACCACCGTGTATTAAAAAGGTATTACTGGTGAACTTAAAGAAATACACTCATTATATCTTTATAATAGAATTATATATATATATATATATATATATATATATATATATATATATATATATATATATATATATATATAATTTACATCAGTTTATTGACTCGAATGCAACATCAAAATGACTGTTTAATTATTCTGTCTCAGTTAATCTATTTTGACCTAAAGAATATCACTCATTTAAAGGCGTGAAATATACAATCAACATTTGTAACTAAAAAACTGTTTTATTCATGAATGATTGAATCGTTGTTAGACCACCATTACAAACCTGAAAGCACTGGACGGCCGTTTCGTCCTCGTATGGAACTCATTAGCAGTGTACATAAACGACTCCTGCTAATCGCAGGACCTGCAGTCTTGCGTACGATTGCTTAACCTCTAGACCTCTGATTTTGAAATAAATACTTTAGAAAAGATACAGAAAATTTATATTAAGCTAGGTAATTGCAATACTTTGATTTCAATTCTACAAAACTTCATCAGTGTCTATTTTAGAAAGCTTGAAGTGTATGATCTCAATTAAAGTAATCATGCTATCTGATTGGTTGGTTTTACAAACAAAAATTTAAAAAGTCATTATTACACATATGTAAAACTAACCAAAACAATACGAAGTAGAGAATACCATTTCTTCCATGAATCTTCATCGATAGCACACATTTCAATAATTAAACGAGAATCTGCTTGTTGAGTTGAATGAGGCTAAAAATAGAGTGAGAACAACAACAGCAACAGCAATCAACTTTTTGTAAAGCTTGAAGTAGTAAATGTACGTTTTTTCTATGGGTTTTTAATTTGGAAAATTCAAAGTAAAGATTTTGACATAACTAAACAGTGTAGGCTGTTGTTATTTAAGAATGAGTGTTTAGAAATTCCATTTAAGGTTTTACCGAATTGTTTTGACAGATATTTCGTGCAATCTGTTTTTAACAAGCTATAGATATTCTTCAATTAGAGTTATGGAGATTAGTATTTTTTGCATATTGAAATCATCAATCAATCATTGTTAGACCACCATTAGAAACCTGGAAGCACTGGATGGCCATTTCATCCTGGTATAGGACTCATCAGCAGTGTATATCCACGACTCTTTCACCTCACAACACTCGTACCCAGGACCTTCGGTCTTGCGTGCGAATGCCTGATCTTTGCGTACAGCAACAGCATGCTCAGTTGCTTATTTTTCCTTAGTCTTATACTTCCTTTCACTTCGTTCACAATCTATGGGATTTTGTTATGGTTGTATTGGTGTGGGTGTGTATGTTTTTGTTGTTGATGTTTATTTGACTGTTAAATTATCAATTCTAATCCGTTCCAATTAATTTTGCAATTAATAATTAGCCATTATTGTAACTTTTGTTTATTCCTAATAGATATTAAGTGGAAAATTATCCTCCAATGAATGAATACCTCACCTTTCACTAACCGACTATTACATAACTTCCGTTCATTACATGATTGTCACTAACAGATTATGACATGATACCACTTCAGGTTTGATATTATTATTATTATTATTGTCACTTTTCCAAGCCATTCTATTTTATTGCATAACGGGGTTGAGAAGATTGTTAAGTTATCCATTGAAATAATGAATCGGTCGAAGTTAGACCACCATTAGAAATCTGGGAGCACTGGACGGCCGTTTCGTCCTGGTATGGGACTCATCAGCGGTGCGCATCCACGACTCCTGCACCTCACAGGATTCAAACCCAGGACCTTCGGTCTTGCGCGCGAACGCCTAATCATCGGACCACTGAGCCGGTATCCAACGGTGTTAATCTAACTTTAAAGAGCAAAACTACGTCCTGGATCCCACTGCTAGCCATGTTTCCTTCTGTTCTGCATACCTTGTGTCGTAGTGGATATATCAAAGTAATCTTTCAACAGGATGCACATATTTCAAGAAAGACTATTGAATTTTCGGTCCTTAAGCATAGCTAGCGTTATAACTAAAGCGGATTCTGTTAATTTTACCGATAATAATGATTAAAATTGCATTCGACTAACTACTTGAACAAAATGACCCTATTAACCTTACTCACCTAAGTTATGCATTTTTCTGTCATTTCAAAGCTATAACCCGATCAAGTTTTAATCAACTATCCAATTTACATATTCAATTAAAATGAATTTTGTACTGAGTTTCGGAAAATGAATAAACACATAAATTGCTTGTATTATTATATCATGAAAAATCATAATTTCACACTGTGGATATGTAAAAGTTTTGAAGAAGAGAATGTAATAGTTATGTTAAGATGATGTGTGACGTGACATACTACTTTATTTGATGGAAATTATCACTGTTTTTTGAACTTTGGCTGTCACAAATAATTTTTGATTTCAACTGAAATATTACTGAAGCATATATATTTCCGGCATAATTCTCTATGACTTACTTTCTAACTACTGATTTGATAAGGCAACAATTTTCAGTTTAATGATACATATTTGAAGAAAGTGTACTGAAGTCTTAGGATTTTGGTATTTTGATAAATGGATTTAGTAAGTGGATCGTAGATGAAATCATTAGAGAACTAATGCTCCATGAAGTGTAGTCCATTGTGATAATAATAGGAAATACCATTGTGTTACTTGAAAAATGACTTTCTCCCTTTCAGCCCATTTTCGATCATAGCAAGTGACAGATGTTCTAATCCATATGATTTTTCAATTAGAATTATGGAGATTAGTATTTGTTGCATTTTGAAATCATCAATCAATCATCGTGAGACAAACATTAGAAACCTGGAAGCACTGAAAGACGGCCGTTTCGTCCTGGTATGGGACTCATCAGCAGTGCGTATCCACAACTTTTGCACCTCTCAGGATTCGAACCCAGGACCTTCGGTCTTGCGCGCAAACACCTAACCTCTGGAGTTTGAGTGTCTGCTATTATGTCGCAGTTTGGTCAATCCTAAGGTCCTGGGTTCGAATCCTGTGAGGTGCAGGAGTCATGGATGCGCACTGCTGATGATTCCCATATCAGGATGAAACAGCCGTCCAGTGCTTCCAGGTCTCTAATGGTGGTCTCACAATGACTGATTAACGATTCCAATGTGCAATAATCCACAAGAGTTAATTTTGGAAATGACAATCAATGGTCAACAACTACATATTCTACTCTAAAGGAACCATAACAGATTCTGTATCATCAAATCGCTAGGTAATTTATAACTTGATTTACATAATACGTTATAGAATAAATGTAAAATATTACAAATAAAAAGATGACAATAATGTCGAACATTATAAAATTTTAAGTGTGATAAAAAGAAAATTACTAGAATTATATGAGTTTTAACCAATTTTAGTAAATACTTAAATTATCCATAGTTTTTTTGTTATCTGCGTAGGCCAGTGCAATAGTCATATCAAACGTTTATCTTATGATAATAAGAAATGTGTTAATAAGTTTTAATACGTCATTAGATTTATGTTTAATCCAAAAACTTTCTAATCTAATCATATTACAATTGGAACATTGGACAAATGAGGGAATCAGCAATAAAACAACATGAAAAAAATCATATATCTAATATCAGTATTGAACATACATAACACGCCTCATTTTTCTGTACCAAACACACATTATTAGTCACTTATTTTCTCGTAGTCTAAAGATTATCACTGATCTTCTTAGTGTTAATTATTCTTCACCTACTTTTTCTTGGTAAAGTAGATAGTTAGCTGTTACATTTTTCAGAAATAATTATTTACTATTATTAACTTTATGATTATTACGCAATTTGAGAAGTTTTTTTTAGTTTGGCTAGGTGTTTAGAAAAGATGTAGATGACATTAGCTAGTAACAAATTGTAAGAATGTCATATGGTTAGTCGGTCTTCATAGAAATCGACTAAAAATCATAATGTTTAGGACATACACCAATCATATTTCAAATAATTTGATCCCAATTGAATATATATATATATATATATATATATATATATATTCATAAGCTTGCATCTATTACGAGTTCGCCTCACTCGGTAAACGCAACAAAGATCAAAAATTCAGTGACGCGATAGGCTATTCTACTCAGATTGTCCCAGGCCCCGCTAACTAGAGGAAGAAGTCTTGATAAGACGTAGAAAGAATGTATTTCACAGGCACCAAGAAAATAAGAGTTCCACAGGCACACAAATCGAGCTTATTTATACAATGATAAAACGCCCTTGTTGAAAGCCACAAAATAGCACACTAAAATAATCCATCAACCAATGAGAGTGAAGGATTTTGGTACGAAGACAATGAAATTCAAAATTTCAAAATAAGATTACAAATTTAGAAGCCTTTCTTAGTGAGTTCTGGGGATCTAACGTCCCTAACTTATATATATATATATATATATATATATATATATATATATATATATATATATATATATTCGTCTTCACCGGGAATAAATATAAACATGCAACAAAATAAATCTATCTACTTGAAAGATAAAAATTTTATCTAAAACGTGACAGCGAATTCATTGAACATTTAACTATATTATTATAATTTCTGTCTACTGTTCGCAAGGTTACACCCAACAGGTTAGTTTCCGAAAAAAAGTATTTTTTTTGTCCACTTTCCGACTGTTTGTCATTTTTTGCAGCTTGAATTATCATGGAAATTGTTTTCTTTAAAATGAAAGTTAATAAATACCTTTATTTTTATATTTATTATTGTTTTAATTGTTATTCTCTGAAAACAATTAAATGTCGGCATGAACGCCTACGGAAATCTAAGGTCACATTAAAATGTGTTTGGAATGCTTTAATAGGAGAAAAACTTATCATGTTACAGAAATTATTTACTACAGAAAATTTTATTCCGAAAATTCGAATATACATTAGGCGGGAAATGTGATTTGCCCCAAAAGGCATTGGTACGATTGAGAGTTGAGAGAGTTCCCACTCCTTCTTGAAATGTTCTCTTACGGGCACGCGTATATAACCATCATCAGGGAAGTTCTACTAACTACTTTCTTGTGGCGGAGATATTGTTCGAAAAACTGAGAGGATGAGAAATGGATGTCATGTGCATCTACGAATTAGTCTGCTTCTATGGAGAAAGCTATATTGGCCGTACGACCAGACAACTGAGGCAAAGAGTTAAAGAACCCCTCCTCCATTTGCGATTAGGAAAGGGTAAAAACAAAAAATTATACACAGCTCAGTTGTATCACACTTGATTGATAGCAGTCATTTGGCAAATTGAAATAAATAGAGTAATTTATCGTACACCTGCTAGGTTTCCTTCTTAGGTTCGAACTCGTCTCTTACATATGGCAGAAGCTATGGGAATGCGAGCTTACGATCCAAGTCTTGTGTTCACAAGGAATTTGTGACACCTTAATCTCTTACTTAGATGAATTGGCCTTAATAAACGATTTCATTATTGCCCATACTTCCTGTGGTTTTGGTTATTTTACTTCACCACTCCCTTCAAATTCTTCAAATATACGCCACACTCATTATTCAATTAACTGAACCATTCTTACTATATAATCTATAATTTTAATGAAAGTTATTCTGTCGTCTGGTTTTCCAAGTTGTTTGACCTCCTTCCTATTGTGAAACATTAATTCAATATTTTATTATTTCGATCATAACCAGTACATTTTTCATCACACTATCAATTTGTATTTTTCATTCCACTATCATTACTAATTCATAAATTGCCTTGATTGGTTCAATAAATTCATATTTTGAATACAAATATTCATGTATATTAGAGTAAAGATTTAATTGAAAATAACATTGTTCGCTTATATATGTTATTCTGAAATTTAATTCTTGTGAAAATATTCTTTTTTTTAAATATTATTTATGTTATGATTGATTTCTTCAAGATTTTATTGATTCGGCTTTTTTTACCTTGATTTTTTGTCATCTCTAACTAATCATTCTGTAATAATCAATTAACTCTAGCATTGATCGATTTCAAAGTAAGCCAACAATGTTCACAACCCTATAATGCAAATTAACTCATTGTCATGTTATTTTGGTTGAAAACAACTTAATACGAATAGTGGACATGCATACTCAAGTATTTTCACAAACTTAGCTTGTAGACTAGTGATTTCGTTGTGTCCATGTGAATGGGTTAGTTGGCTTCGTTAGTAAAACTAAAAATTGGAAAACATTAGTCTCCTTTGTAGCTTAGCAAATCAGTTGCGTTGTTACAATGATTTTAAACTACTGATAATCGTTGTAAGTAAGAAGATTATGAAAATCTACTGTTTGGTAGGGAGTAATTACCGTACAGTATTTAATCAATAGATAATTGTTGTTAAAATCGTTTACACAGAATTCTAGAAGTCACTTTACAGTAAAATAACAGATAATGTTTGAGTTGTTTACTCGAAAACAAGACCGAAGGTCCTGGGTTCGAACCCTGCAAGGTGCAGGAGTCGTGTATGCGCATTACTGATGAGTCCCATACCAGGATGAAATGGCTGTCCAGTGCTTCCAGGTATCTAATGATGGTCTAACAATGAATGATCGATGATTTCGATGTGTCAAAACAATAATCTTCGTAACTCTAATTGGATAGATGAAAGCATAAACTATTTAAAAATTCTTTGTGAAAGAAATATAATAAAATTTGATTAAAATCGATATCAATTACCACAACTACTGACAGTTAAGTCTCCGAGGTATTTATAGTTTTCCATTAAGTGGTACAACATGGACAGTAAACAGGAAACATCAAACATGCCATTTAAATTATCATTGATCCAAGATACATTACAATCCGTCCACATGGGTTATTTAATATTCTGACCATAATTATTTAAAACTTGTTGAGTATATATATATATATATATATATATATATATATGGCACAAGTCTATAAAGTCAGTGACTACTGGACTGAATAATGTAGGTAGGTGTAGACTACCTGGTTGGGATCCTCGAGACAATCGTAACCGATGATTAAAGACTTTGAATGACATGGCTCAAAATCATTTACAATGGCACAGGTGCACCCTTTCTATATCTGGTCCCGAATTCGAATCTTCTTAATTCCTCATGACTTTTCTTCATATCTTTTAAATTAAATTCACTGGTTTATATTTTGCTGAATCATATCTTAAAACTGTAATCTTCTTCATTACCAGTAATACTACTACAACCCATACTTGCTTTCAACTGACAGTTTGAGCTCTCCGTGCTAATGTGGTATGGCATCTTGAATTGATGTACGTACGTACGAAGTTCTATGTTGTAGCTGAATGACTGACTGACTGATATGCATACCAACTGTATAAAATGCTTATGATCTGATGAAAATACAAACGATTAAACGTCATTTATGTATGAATTAAATCATCAAATGAAAAAAAAAATTTATTTTTACTTACTTTAGGACTTTCAAATAAACCATACAAATCTTGTCGTTCTTCAAAAAAGATTAAATTTTCATTTTCTATTTTCCAACTTGATAAATAATTCAATAAACATTCATCATCTTCTAAGCAACGTTCTAAAAAAGTATACATAAAAATGTTAATAAAAGAAATTTACTCATGTATATATTTTGTGATAGGATGGATGATGTTATTATAAAGAAACTTATCTATTCGTCATTATTCGACAGTATATTTCGTTAAATATTCTATCACGATTCGAGATCCTTCAGTGATAGTAGCTTCACTTCAAGTCATCGATTAGACAAATAAACGATAAAAATAAAGTCATCTGAAAAAAGAACGTCTTGATATTATGATATTATAAATCTTAACTCTCATAATCTATATTTGATAAAAATTCAACAGTTTTAAAATCAATTTTTATCAGTAGACCATGAACCATTATGATTCAAGTAGATCGAGTAAACACATTATTTTCAAATGAATTTTATAGTTTAGCATTCCATTTCTCTGTTAGACATTTATTTTACTAATATTAAGTATAGAAATGTGATTATTTTTAGATATGATCGGTAATAAGTCATGTGTTTATCGATCTCCTGTTAGGCATCAAAAATGAATTCTAATTTTTTTTTAACAAAAAGCTACAATACTTAGGTTAAATATATGCCTTGTAAACTAGATCTTTTTAGCTATCTGTTTGAATGGTAAATGTTGACAAGTTTGTACAATTGAACTTGCGATGTTTTAGAAAACGTAGACGAAAATTAATGTCAAATCTTATTTGGATTAAGATGTAAATTGTTTTTTGCAAATTAGCATTTGAAAATCTGTTTAATGATGAGATGTTAAGTTATTTGTTTAAAACAGTATTGAAATGAAATATTGACAGAAAAAAAACCAGTTTTCATTTAGACAGTAGTTCATTAAATTAATTCAGTTAGATTATCTTTCCAGAGGTTTTCTTCTTTTTCCTATGAATCCAACTGAAAAGTTATAAATCATTTTGTGTAAAAAAAAAAATGCGAAAACGGTTGTTTTGAAGGTGATTTCCCGTTAGTAAATGTTATTACCAAAGAAAGCTAATGGTACTTAACACCTATCCTATCCCAGGTATGAAAATCTCTAGTAATCTATATAAATCATATGTAATCAAACCCATGTCATTTCAGACATTATTCTTCTACAAAATACTTATAAAGTGGTAATTCTATAATTGTGAAAAATATACTGGACTATCAATTTATGCCATGAACATTTGTTTTGGTTGAACCGAAATAAAACAGGAGAAGACGTGACCAATGGAGTTCAACCGTGTCAGGTGTAGGCAGGAACTACCAAAGACAAATGAGTGAGGTCGTGCAAAATCCCTAGAATAATCAGAGTTAGACATTAACATCGTTGAATGTCGGCCCAGTGGTCCGATGGTTAGGCGTTCGTGCACAATACCGAAGGTCCCAGGTTCGAATCCTGCGAGGTGCAGGATTCGCGGATGCGCACTGCTGAGTAGTCCCATACCAGGACGAAACGGCCGTCCAGTGCTTGCAGGTTTCTAATGTTTGTCTAACAATGAATATTTGATGATTTCAAATGTGTAAAAACACAAATCTCCAAAGCTCTAACTGAAAATTCGATTTTGTTAGACATAAATTATGTTAATTTAACAAGTCTGGCGATTAACAAACTGGAATATACTTAAATATGAATTTTTTTTTAAAATTAAAAATCATTTTAAAGAAGTAGGCAAAAGTCTTTTTAGTATATTTTCTTGGTGCCAGTTTAGTAATTATTATGGATAATTTTGTCTTAACTTTAAGCAACAGTGATGAATTTCAACCTACTTCATTAATTCTTGTATTCAGTTGTTTTTTTACTTAGCTGATCAATCACGGAGTGTTACGCATGCATGTAAACATTTCATTTTGATATGCTTGAACTATGACGAGTTTACCTTAGTCGGTGAACGAGAGTGAGGATCGATGGTCTGTCGACACAACAGGCTACTCTAATCCGAGTATCTTAACCCCCATTGAATAAACGAAGAAGACTTGATATGAAGTAGGACCTGTATTCTACAAACATCCAGAAAGTACGAGGTCCGAGTCCAGAAGAGAATCAGGATCCCGGACTAAGGATCCGGGTCACAAAACGTTACAGATAATGCGTATTTATACAGTTAGGTCGAATAGGGAACAACATCGAAGTCTATGACATTGACAGTTAGGGCGACCAATAGGAAAAAACATTTGAAGTGACACTGATTGTCAGAACGACCATAATATTGACTAATAGGAATAGACTAATAGAATTTACACTTAAAAAATAATTCTTCGTAGGATATTTGGTGAATATCCTAACACGGAGTAACAGCCAAAGTTTATAGATCAATTTATAATGTGGCTTGATGATAGGATAGCTGCAGTCTTAGGCTTTATTTCCTAAAACCCTTTGTCTATCTACACAATTTGATTTTAAGTGATTCATCTAATTTCCAAGTTGTAATTATTGCTTTGCACTCCTGACAAGCTGACTGTTATCTTTTAAATATTTTCCACACAAAGTTTATTTATTTGGTATTTTATTACGAATCATATGTTTGATTCAATCTTCAATGAATTTCAACTTTATTGCTGATTACAAATGTGTAAACAATCATGACATGTTTAATAACTAAAATAAAGTGATAAAATTTGAAGCAGTTTTCTTTCGTTCCGTAGAAAAATAATTCAGTTAAAAAGCGTATTAAAGAAAAGTTTAATGGATTCTGAATTTTCATCAAAAAAAAATGTAGAAACTTTGTGCTAAGCAATGGTTTAACTGTTTTAAACTGTTGAAAAATCACTCATACTGAACTAAGATTAATTTAAAACAAGAAAAAAAGTTCGTTTTCATACTGAATACCAACTTTATGGGTAAAATTATCTGCATACTACAATTAACTACTCAACTTACCTAAATGTAAAACAGGAATTCTTTCAACTAAAGCATGTCTCACAGTGAGAAATTTCTGTGTAGTCTTAGTTAATTTTTGTAAAACTTGTAATGCTGTAGTTGTACTATCAACTGAAACATATTTACTTGTTCTGTCCGGTAGAAAGATTTGTATAGTGAGCTTTATATTTAAAAAAAAGAAAGATAAATTGAACTTAGGAAAAAAAAAATCAAATTTCATTGTTTAATTAATTAAATAAATTGATATATTGACGTAATAATACTGACTGATCCAGTCAAGGAATGTTTGTACCTTTGTTATGTTTCAAAAAAAAAATCACTGAAGAACTGACAAACTTTCGAATTGCTCATTTTCAGTTTGATTATGATCGATTATAGGGTTTTTGAGTTTTTTTAGTTTGTAGTTGGAACTATAGATCTAGAAGTTTACGCTTAGTTTATAGGATATTTGTTGGAGAAGTTAGATCCCCAGAACTCGCTCGATAAATGTCTTAAACTTTGGATTTTGGCTGATCAGTTGACCTTGAGATCACATTTCCCACCAGGAAAATCCTTGGCTGTGATTGGTTGATGTGTTATTTTAGTAGACTATTTTTGTGACTGTCCCAAGGACGTTTCTATGATGTATAAATAAAGGCGATTTGTGTGCTGGAGATCAATGTGTTTGCTGGGTGTTTGTAGAATACACTTCTACGTCATATCATGACTTTTTCTTCAGTTAGTTGGGAAAACGGATCAGAGTAGCTTACCGTGTCTCTGGGTCACTGTCTCGTTCTCGTTTATCGACTAACGTGAACACGTAATAGTTTCAAGCATATCAACTGACGAGCATAACAATACATTTGGTTTCAAAATAGTTCATTATTAGCTAATTGGATTGTAATGCTTAGAGTAAAGAGCATGAAATCTCACATGGACCATGGACCATCGTAAACAAATTTATCGGTAAGTTCTTAGTAGTATACAACCTAGTCTAGCTCCTTCAATCTGAATACTTACCACTATCAAATACACTGTATAAAAATGTTCTGTAATCAACACACTTTAGAATAATAAAGAGAGAGATTGTTTATATTGGTTCTGTGACATGAAATGGATCACTCGACATAAATACATAATTCTTCATTTTTAGAATACTCTTATGTTAACAGAGATATCGATATTAATGAGATAGATGAAAACAATGTAAAATAGTGTTCCTATTATTATTATTATTATTATTATTATTATTATTATTAATTCATGTTATCAGAATGAAGAACATGAATTTTATGAATAACTTTTAATCAGTACTCTAAGATATCGTTTAAATAAATTTCTTTAGTTTTAAGTTATACTGTGAATATTAGAAATTTTTCTCTTTGGACTGTACTGTTCACTTTAGATTCGTTTTCGAACCAATTTACACATTATATGCAGAGATGGATAGTGGATAGTAGCGGAATTCAGAATGCGCGTTTCGTCATATCTGCAACTCATCATCTGGATGCACCTGCATCTTACAGTTGATGTTCACTCCGAGATTCAAGAATGCACAAATGTCGAATAAGACTGATCAACTGCAGTTCTAACCATCAACGGAAATAATGTTACCTTATCAAATCCCTAATACTGAACAACTTGATAAGTTAAAAATGTATGAATTTTTTATAAGCAGGTAACGAAAACTGAATCTGTTACAAAAAACGAACTGATCACAGTAATATTTGACTTCCATGATATAAGTTGACAGTGTTTTCCCATTCTATTCAGCCTACATAGGATTTTCGGGTGTGACATTATTAATTTAATACCCTCATCAATAACTTTGAAATTAACATTCCGTACTCTCAATCAACAATATAACAATTATACTAATACTAGAGCTATTATTATTTTGTAAAATATTATTTACATGGAGAAAAAATGTTTTTATAATAATCCATGATAAAATGGATGGCGTAATGAAATGACGCCAAAAAAAAAGAAATGTTTATGACATGATTGTTTTTTGAGTATATTGTAAATATTTATTAGTTTATTTATCCTATTCATAATATTCATGTTTATGATAGTTTCAAAAGTATGCAAACTATTAGATAATAATAATTGTTTTCAGTTAATTGCTCTTAGAAATTCAGCAACAATTCATATAAACATCACGTGAAAGAACAGAAATACGATAAATTAAATTAATAATGGTTTGATTCAATATTTTATGCCCAACGTAAACTTTCGAATGATGATATACATCATCAATTATGAGGTTTTAGATGACCTTCGTACGTAAGTACATCAGTTCAGGTTGCCATACCACATCAGCACAGAGACGCAACTGTCAGTTCAAATCCAAGAGTGATAGCAATAATAGAAGTATTAGCAGTAATGGAGAAGATTAGGGAGCTAAGATATGAGCCATGTCGTTCAAGGTCTCTAACCATTGGTGACTTTCGTCTAGCAGACCCCAACCAGGTAGCCTACATCTACCAACATGACTCAGTCCACTTGTCAGTGACTTCATGGATTTCTGCTATGATTTGTTTTGGCTGTCCCTAGCTTTCTTCCAATCTACTCCTACACCACAAAACATAGCTCGTCGCGGCAGTTAGCCATACGTATTACATGACGCAACCACCTCAACTGATGAAGTTTCACTACTTCATCTATTGATTTGCCGTCCCTACCTAGAACTCGTTTCCTAACGAAAGCATTGCTTATACGGTTGTCCCATGATACACGAGCAATGATTCGGATACATCGGCGATCGAAGACTAGTAACCTACGGACGTCCTCTGCTCTTAACGGCCAAGTCTCGCATCCGTACAGTAGGACGAATCCAACTGCTGCACAGTACATTCGTCCTATTTATAGTGTCTAATATTCTTTGGATCCGGTTATCTTTTAGTGTAGCCTAACATAGTTCGCATGACTTTCAAAATTCCGTATAAATATACTTTTCAAAAAAGAACTATTACTTACATTTGTTTTGCTTGACTGATTTTTATCGACAACTGCGTCAGTTTCTAATTGATTTGAAAATCTTCGGAAGCTTGGTGACATACTTCTTCGATTAGAAGGTAGCTGAGAAGTTGTGACTGAATTTGAAGACTTCACATTTTCCACCCCATGAGGAACAGAGGAACAAACTGATCGAGCGATTGAATACTCAGAATAATTATCACTTTTTCTGTGGTTACTGTTATTATCGGTAGTAGTATTAGTAGTAGTATTACAAGTAGTTGTAACAACAGACTGTTTTGGAGGTAGCTTTGGTTGATTGTCATCTGGTTTAATTGAATTGGCTGCATTAGACAAAGTGTTTGTGTTGGCTTTATTTGCTAATTCATTACGCATTGAAAGATAAGCATATAAACTCTGACTTCTGGTTATTTGATTTAATGAATTTGCTGAATTCGAAGATAAAGATCTTCGCCTGAGAAATTCTTCAATATTTTTTGAACATGGATAATTTTTTGTAACATTTTGATTGAATACATCACGTTCCGGTAATTTCTTGTAAAATATAAACGAATCTTTTCATCAATTTATGTTTTATGCAAATAATAAAATGTTTAGTTAATAATGATAAGTTTTAGGTCAATATTTAGTGATTGATAATTACATTATCAATTACAAAAAGCGCTATTTAGCCAAACTTACCATAAATTTCTATTTCAACAAAGAGTATTATTTTCTTCATAAGTTTATGCAAGTAAATCACTGTCATATGATGTTGCTCTTCATCTTCCCCAAACAAATAAATTTACTCTCTACTTAAAAAGTTTGTGAAGATTGATTGATTATAGGATGATAACAGCTAAAATACAATCGCGAACCAGAGGGTACAAGTCGATTGTTATTTCTCACGTCAGTGACATATACCAGAACTGTTAGGTTTCGAAACGATGGGTTGACCTTTAACTGATTGATTTAGAACCCGATGATCTGCATTTCCAAAGTTATTCTTCTAATAATGTTACGCTTCGATACTTATTTCAATATTTCGAACTTTTGTAGCACATTCACCATAAATATATTTATGAATTTCAACTTGATCTACAATACGTGTTTAAGAGCTGCTAGTCATACTAACTAGTTGTCAAAACTGAAGTAGTTGAATCAGAGTTTTTAACCTGTGGGTAACTAGTTAAAATGTGAACGCTTGAACGATTTAACCGTCTCTCTAAGCGTTTTTTGACTTTATGACTGTTTATAAAAAAAAAGAAAGAAAAAGTTGAACACCTCTGTTGCCTAAGTTTTGGGATTTTCTTCAACGAACTGTCACAACATCGTGAAGAATAGAACTGAAGGCGTTCGGATTTCTTACATTTAAGATACTGAATGAAGTTTAGCTTTTCCCAACTCGAATCAATGAACATACTCATTTAATTTTTCCAATCGCTGTTACTGCTTGTTTATTATTTGAATTTTGATTAGGATAACTCCTCATATCGTAGTTGATCACAAACACCTCGGAAAAATGGACCTGGAATCCAGGTCCAGTTTATGAATATTCGTACATGTTGCTGAGAAGTAATGAATTAAAGAAAAATAGATGTAAAGTGATGACTACTATTCTATACTGCCGTCTTAAGTGACATTATTCTATGATATTAGAATGTTTATATTGAAAATTCAGTGTCCTCAAAAACGATCAACGCATGCTATGCCATCAGTTTGTCATTTGACATGTGATAAGTGAAAAAGCAGTGAAAATCAAAAGAGTATTTATTTAGTTCATTCATCCTGTATGATATAATTCAAATTCTGAAATTTATCATACATCCTTTGTTCTGTCTGATCAATCATTACTAAATATCATTTTTATTGGCTGTTATCCTATTTAGTATCGTTTTTTTTGAATTGCTGATTAACTCCAGCAGCATAGATTTTCACAGTTCCTTATATTCCAAGCCTCTTTTCAATTTACTCTTATCTAAGTGTACGCATAATTCAACTTAAGAACCAACAAGGCTCCATCTATCAGTATCTAACTAGATGATACACATAACGTTCGACCTTGCATAATCAGAGTAATTAGTTCACCAGTTAACTACGCTGTCTATAGAATTAATACTTGATGAACTTTTCAGAAACAAATATAATGAATTTTTATCAATAGGACAATCAATGTAACCTATAAACTTACTTGTCTTCTAACGTGTGTATTATAACCAATTCCATAGCTATTCACATGATTACCATTGATATTATTTGTCCCGGTGTTGGCATTATTGATAGCTGTAGTAATACTGTTGTTGGCGTTGTTGTTGTTGTTGTTGTTAGCGTCAAAATTTATCGTAATAGTTTTATTATTATTATTCAAAGTATTCACACCATTGGCCAGGTGTTTTTGATTTGAATCTGATGTATCTATAGAGTGAAAATGACCAAAATTCAAAGGTTTATCCAATTGTAAATGAATTAATCTTCAGAAATTTTTCTCAATATGTTACAGTTTTGCAGTAAAATTAGCGTTGATGAATGAATACTAAACTATGCCTACTGTATAAATACAATATTGAAATATTTTCAATTAAAGTTATGGACCTCGTAGGAGTCGTGGATGCGCACTACTGATGAGTCCCATAGCAGGAAGAAACGGCCGTCTTTCAGTGCTTTCAGGGTTTCTAATGGTGTTCTAACTATGATTGATTGATGATTTCAAATGTGGAAATACTGAAATAATCAAATTTTCATGTCGGTTAAAAACTATGAGTTGTATTTCAAATGGTATTTACAATATTATTTAAACCAATGAATAATAATATATGACCCAAAATCAACTTAAAATATCGCAAGCGCATTATGCGAGCACTAATTTAGTGTATAACATCATTAGAAGCCTATTTATTATATTAAAGATTTTAATGCTTTATTCCTATTCACAAAAAAATTCTAGACCATTATAATTTTTTATTAAATAAGCATGTGTACATTGGATTAAAAACTGATAAGCATAAATGATTTTAATCTAATATGTTCCGATTCTTCTTTGATGATATTTACATGAGTAGTTAACTGACTCGGTCACTATCATAAGAATCAGTTAATCCAATCTATTCACAAATTGTTGTGTTAATTAAAAAAGTTTGAATAAACCAAATAACACCATGAGATTTATGTATGAAGATATAAATATTTGTTAGTTTTGAAGAAGATGTACAATACAATTTTAACGAAAATTCGACAACGTAGTTTGTGTTACCGAATAGTGTAAATCTATTCGAGTGCAAAAGAATCTCAAGGTTACCAAAATGTTATCCACAAATTACATAAATTAACCCTCTACTGTCACGGGCAGTTTTATATTGGTTTTCAGGAGAACCAAGGAGACTGCCCATGGGTTAGCATTTCGACATGGAAAATCCGGCTCAATCCTGTGGTGCAACCATACAGGCACCTGACACCCTGGTGGACCATTTACACCATTTATATATACTAGTACATATATAGTGATTATTTCCGATTCATGGTCGCGTCAATCAAAATGCACCGCATGAACAGGCCAATTCAACCCATGCCGCTTACATGACTGTAAAACTCATTTTTATTAGCAATGGTCATATATAATACGGCAATCCCAGTGAAAATGGCTCTCTGGAATGTTTCAAAACAACCACCAGTATCAATGAAATCGGTCACGCTGCTAACCAATTTTGTGTATAGACTGTTAGCAATACTTGTCAAAGCAATGCCAAGCCATCCATAATGTTCACAGAGAACCTCTGGTCTCATAGGAAACCTTCAGCTCTATATAGCAGCACAGAATATGGTATACACATATTATGGCATAGGATAACAAGAGACGCAGCCCAGCTTGATGCTAATGGGTTCAAACACTCTTATCACCCTTTGATGGGTAATGATTCTTTCGCAATATTGAAACTTTGATTTTTCGACCGTATAAGACTTGAGTTAGAGGGTAAGTATCCATAGAAATCTTTCGAACAGATTTAATTAAATATTTTATGTGATATTATTGACTTAATGGTCTTTATGAAAGCCACGTAGCATCTGAGCAGCTGAGTTGGAGTTTATTAGTTAACGTTTCCGAAACTCAGACACTTGGTGAAACAGGAAAAATTGAAATAAAATTTTTCATGGTCACAGCTGTAAAGGTTATGTCGATCTATTAGATTAGAGAATTCAACATGGAGCTGTTGTATTTCAAAACATCAGAATAAAAATTTAGGACTTTTCCCAAGTGAGTTCTGTGGATCTAACGTACCCAAAAGTCAATTAATAATATTTTCATTTTTGACGATTTCATGATTCAGTTAATTTTCCATATAGTGAGTATTCTCATCATCCTTTAAAACTCTGAAGAATAAATAGCTTATCAAAAGTCCTGAGTTCTTTAGCTTTGCAGAGATCACTACAACTCATTTGAAATGCACATCGGTCAATTTAGTGTTGAAGTAGTTCAATAAGTGATGACCGTTTCAAATAATGTTGATATTAGTGTGTACACACCCGTAGTTCGTTAGAAACTTTTATTTGTCTCAATAAGTTTATAATACATAGTCAAAGATGATTATTTCAAATAATCACAGAAATCTACATCTATTCTTACAAATGGTAAAAGATCTTACTAATTATATCACACTATTTTACTCAATTGTGAACTATTCTTTGTGTTACTACTGTTCCAACACACCTAAGATAAATTTCAAAAAATGCGATACAATTTCACGTTACAAGAAAGTTGATATTTGAATTAGTAAAAAGTATTGGGAAATATAAATAACGTTAGAATTTCAGTTTAAAAATTTAAACGACATATTGAAAGCGATTATGTAACATTGTTTGACAATTACTTCATTTCGAATCAAGAAGTCAGTCTTAAAAAATGACCACAGTAAAAGTTTCTTCACAAAAAGCATGTTCGACTAACAAACAGTCATTTGCTTAAAACAGTTAACATACTTTATATATATTATTTAGAAAATAGGTAGATACATAAATTTGTTTGTCTAATGGTGTTTTGAATAAAGTTCCCCTTAGAAATTATGAGTTTTTATTTATCATATATGTAGATTACAGACAGCTTAATGGTTCAATGATCAATTAAGTAAAAGTTGATTTAAATCATTTCTGTAGAATTTTCATTTCATCATCATGTCTTATAAAATCTTACTAAAATTAATTGCGACTTTACTTGAATAATCTATATTACATCCCTAAATTCACTTCAAATTATGTTTTCTTATCGGAGAGCAATAATGAAATAAAGCCAATATAAGCTAACAGAGTCTGATTGTTTACGATCAATACTACAAATAGAGTTTTTAGAAAAAATTCACAGTAATATACTAGATGATTTTAATAGATAATAATGAATTATTTTGTGAGGGTTGTCATATTTTCCGAATGTGAAACCATGACATCTGGAGCCAACCATATGAAAAACAAGACGGGAAGGATAAAAAGAGGATTGTTCTGTACTATATATTTTCTACAGTTAAGAAATCCCGATTCAGTGGATCATATCTATAGTGGTCAACAAGGAATCACAAGATCTTCGGTTATAATTTGATTGCTGATGTTTGTATGTCATCAGAAGTTCGGACTAAACAAACTCCTAATGTCCACCTATCCTCTACTTAAATTTAATCGCAGATCAATATTTCTATTAAAAATTGACCATCATCTATTCACAACCACATTGTTAATACTAATTTAAGTGTTACAAAAATGAAATTTTGCTTAATGTTCAGTTATATTTTTAACGAAGTTATCGTATCGAACGAAATGAGGTAGATCATTACTGCCTGGATCGAAAAAACCTAACCACATGTTTGAAATATCCACTAAAATTTGCATTGAGTCAAACAAATTTTATTACAAGGCAATCACCAATAGTTAGAAAATAGTTCTTCAGTTCTATTAAACCTGTTCTTTATTTCGAGTTAAATTTTAAAGTTTCTTTGTACTCAAACTGACAACAATTAACAACATTTAAACCAAAAGTAATCATGATATGATTTATGGCCTCATTATGAAATTCCATAATTCCTATAACAATGTAGTTAGTGTGTTATTGGCAGTGAATTTACAATTTGTTTTCTCCGTTCGACTTAACCCAGATAAAACAGTTTCTGTTGCATCTCTTAACATTGTATAGAATATTGAAAATCATAATTATGTTTAAGGAATGGGATTTGGTACGCCCAGTATAACACATAAAGGTACTAGAAACTCAAACGTTTCGATCGGGCAATAACATTAACTATATTTCTTTGATATCAAGGCAATGTGACAGTGTCAGTTCTAAATATGAAACAATATTATTCGATATTTATTTTGTACAGAAGAACATGTGCTGTTTCAAGGAACTGTTTATGAATTATATTAGATATTACGAATAAAAATTGAGCATAACTGATGATCAATGCTTAGCTAACATCTCAGTCTATATGTCGTTGAAGACATCATAAACCTATGCTTAACGAAACAACTTACTTTGAGTCCATCATTCAGTCAGTCAGTCAGTGAGTTGCAACGTAGAACTTCGTACGTATGTACATAAGTTCAAGTTGCCATACCACATTAACACAGAGACGCAAATGTCAAATCAAATCCCATAGTGATAAAGATAGTAGAGGTATTAATCGTAATGAAGAAGGCTGGGGTTTGAAGATATTATTCAAGAAGTATAATTCAGTGAGATAAGGTTAGAAAGACAAAGGTAGAGGTGCTGACGAATCCCGAAGATTAGGATTTCAGAGAGCACAACGAATGGATGCACTTGCGCCATTGCAAACGATCCTGACCCATGTCGTTCAAGGTCTCTAACCATCGGTAACTATCGTCTCGCGGACCCAAACCAGGTAGCCTACATCTACCAACATGACTTAGTCCACTTGTCAGTGACTTCGCGGATTTCTTCCATGTTTTGGTCTGGCCGCCCCTAGCTTTCTTCCAACCTACTCCCACACAACAAAACATAGTTCGTCGAGGCAGTCGGTGGTTAGGCATTCGTAACACATGTCCCAACCACCTCAAGTGATGAATGATGAGTCCATCATTGAACGAAATTCATTTGTCAATGGTTAACAGAAATCAGTATTGCCATTGATCCAAGTGCCACAAGTCTTCCATGTGATCAATGGATCATTATCACTATCGCATCAAGAATCAAGTATATATGAAAAATCTAATTACCTGTAAAATACTACATGAAATTTTCTATGCTAATATAACCATTTGACTTAAATAATCATATTGCAATGAAAATATTCAACATATCTGTTTACTATTGACTAGACAATAAAAGAAATTGAAAAATGAATTTTTATTTTCAACGCACTGAACCATATCTTCCGGTTGCATAAATGAACAACAATATTTTTCAATAGAAAGACAACTAA